CTTACACCAAAAAGTACTACCCGCTCGAGCGCCACCGCTTGAGCTCAAAGAAACCCGCTCGAGCGTAAAAAACATACTCGCAGAAGTTCTGCAGAGCACCAAAATACTGGGAGCGTGCAATCTCCGCTCGAGCGCAAGAAGACCCGCTCGAGCGAACCTCTTAAAAACTGGGCAACAAAGAATTGAAACCAAAGCCTAACTAACCTGTAACAATTCAGCCCAAAACATCCTAAAACTCAATCAAGTGGAATTAAAGGATAACTACATGGTATACCACCACCAATATCACGGAACCGAGTCCGGAATACAACAAAACAGTAAAAGGACAACTGGGATCGCTATACACGCCCACAAATTCGACTTATATCCCACACACTAAACTTGCACCCCACATTAATTCGACATGCACTCCACACAAATTAAACTTGCACCCTACAGAGACTAAACTTTCACCCTACACACCCCACACAAATTGGACTTGCAGTGTAACAACCCACATTCATGTCTTAATCATGTTCATGTACATTTGCATGATTTTGTCTTGTTAAGCTTGCATTTGCAGACTTTGACTTGTTTTGCCTAAGTAAAGGTCCCTGTCTTATTTTGTGCTTATGTGATTTGCCTAAGTGTTGTATGCATGTTTTGTTCCTTCCTTGCTGTCTCAAGCCTAGGTCATGCCAAGCCTAGGTCATGTTAAGCCTAGGTCATGCCAAGCCTAGGTCATGCCAAGCCTAGGTTACGCCTTTGAACCTCTTACCCCTAGGACCATCTTGGAACCACTTTGGTTGACCTCCACCATCACCTAGGCATATTGGCCGAGATGCCATCATCTAGGCCAAGGTGTGCATCACCTAGGTCAAGGTGTGCATCACCTAGGCCGAGGTGTGCATCATCTAAGCCGAGGTGTGCATCACCTAGGCCGAGATGTGCATCATCTAGGCCGAGATGTTATCATCTAGGCGCCCTAGATCCTTGATCCTTGCACCTAGTGATCTTGTTCCGGGACTGGAATGACCTAGACCGAGGTGTGGCACATCTAGGCCGAGGTGTGGCACAGCTAGGTCAAGTGTTATCCTTCCTAGCCGAGGTCATTGGAACCTTACTTGCCGAAACCTATGTCCTAAGCCGAGATCATTACCTGCCGAAGTGCCCATGCCACCTTGCTTGTCATACACACTTTGTCATACACTTGTCTTGTCTTTCAATCAGCTTTTTGAGAAGAACCAATCCGGTAGTGCCACGTGTCCCTACAGAGGGTTAAATCAACCGGCAGAGAGAGAAAAACATATCATTTGCTATATCTTTGTCTTAGAAGAGAGAGAAGCTCTAGGAAAAGGAAGAGGAATTCTAGAGAGAGGTAGATTTCCAAGCTTGATCTTCACACCTTGAACCATTAGATCCGTGTTTTGAGGTTAGATTATTGGTCTACTCTTATTGTTCTTATTGTTCATCTAGCTGCATTGCATGATCTAGCATGTTTCATGAGCCATGCATTGCTTTGAAGTTCGGTTTTAGAAAGAGAAAGTGATATTCATGTGTTCTTGAGAAAAAGCCATGTTTTGATTCTAAAGTTTGTATCAAGATCCATGTTTTCGTATTTGTTTTCATATGATCTTCAAGTATGGGTACCAAGGTCCATGTTTTCGAACTCATAGCATGAAATCCCAAATCTTGTAATAACAAGTTATGATTTTAGCATTCATGTTCTTCATGTTCTTCATGCTCATGTTCTTCATGTTTTTCAAAGAGGAAACCCAGATTTCCAAGCTTTATTTCCCTAGGTGTGATCACCGAGACCACTCTTGCCTAGATCACACACCTAGGCCAAGCATCGTATCTCACCTTAGCATACCTTGCATGATCACATGTACGTTAGTTTATCTTGCATGCATACCTAGGCCAACCTCTGCACACCTAGGCTAACCACTGCACACCTAGGCCGACCATGGTACACCCTTGCCGGCACCTTGTAACACCTCGGCAGGCAACTGCACACTGAAGCCTAAGTAACCACACCTCGGCCAAGAGGTGTGGGACCTCGGCCAAGACCTCCCGGGTTCAGCCAGCTAAGTCATTTTAGCCTAGATCATCTCTGTGCATCCATTCCAAGACCTGGTTGGTACCCAGCATGTTTTCCCTAGATGAAAAACATTGTTTTAACTTCCAGCATGTTTTTCCTAGATGAAAAATGGTATTTTAACTTCCAGCATGTTTTTCCTAGATCATTTGCATTCATGTAAAGCTTGTTTTTAAGAGTGCATTCAATAGGCTTTGCCGTGTGTTTGTAGGACTTGGACCTTTGCTTTGATCCCGGCGTCCCAAGAACTATGTGAGTAGTATTTTTAATAAAGCTATGTTACAATGTTTTGATAAGCTTTGCTTTGCTTTGTTTTGAAAAGTATTTGTTAAGCATGAATGATTACCCCTATTTTGTGTATCAAGTATAAGTTTTGCGTATCAAGTATAAGTTTTGTTTTGGGTGACATTCTCGGGAAGTCCGTACGTGCCAGGGGACTGTAAGCATTTGTGGCACCAGTCCGTACGTGCTAGGGGACTATAAGCATTTGTAGCACACATGTGAAGTCCGTACGTGCTAGGGGACTATAAGCATTTGTAGCACACATGTGAAGTTCGTACGTACTAGGGGACTATAAGCATTTGTAGCACACGTCTTTACGTGCCAGAGGACTCTAAGCTTTTGTGGCACCTTTATTTGTTTTGTCCGGAATGTCATCACTCCAAGTATATGTTGATGTTTTAACACCCAAGAAGCTTGAAAGTTTTGATTGATGAACTTGCTCCATCCCATGTTTTGATACAAGTTATGCCAAGTACATGTTTTGAACAAGCTATGATGTATGTATTGTTTTGACAAGATCTTGGGAATCATTCATTTAACCCATTTATTACTTGTACCATTTACTGAGTATCTAAGCTCACCTTCTCTATATATGTATGTAGATAACAAGCATGAAGGCGGTGACACCAAGATGTGTTATTTGCAAGATGATGTTTGATGCATGATATGTCGGCAATCTTGAGGATTTATGTATTTTGAACATGTCGACTCGAAAAGCCTTTTATCAAGATGTAATATGTATTTTATTTTGTTTATATTCAAGTTGTAAAGCTATGTAAAGATGTATACCATTCCATTTGACTTATGCACTGCTCTTATGGACTAATTAGATTTGTATATATTGCTTCCGCACTTGTGAACCCTATATTTATACTCTGATTGTGTGTGAATTTTGAAAGTTGGCCTTCGGTAATTTCGGATTACTGGCCATCACGGCACCATTCTACTAGGGGTGGAATGGGGTCGTGACATGCAGTCAAGCACAGAGTGAACTTACATCCCGCTCAAATATTTTTAAAACTGAAATATATTGTGAATTTTATTTTATTTTTTTGTGACTAATTTTTACAATATTTTTTTTTTATCTATTTATAAAGTTGAAATATACTATGCGATTAATTTTTTTAAACTAATTTTTGTAACTTTAAAGTTGAAATATAAAATGTTTGGTTGAATTTTTAATTATATAATGTGAGTTAATATTTTTGTTAGTCTCTACGTTTTCTCTAGATAAATAAAAATAATATTTTTATTTAAAAAGTACTTTAAAAAATATATTATTTTTATCAATTCAAATCATACAAATTATTTTAATTATGTAAATTTCTATAAATTTTGAATTATTAATTTAATTTTTTATTAAACATGTTAAATATTAGTCTTATTCTAAAGATTTTATTGATATCTTTTGAAAATGTAATAATTTTATAAAAATCAAATTTATATATTAAAAATTATATATTGCATTTATACAATAAAGTAAAATATATATTTTTTAAATTAAAAATAAGATGAAGTGTGCATGTGAGTTGTTGTGATGTGTGCTCTGTGTGTGTGTAAATGTGTGGCGTAGGTGTGTGCGTTAGGTGACAGACAGAGAGCGTGTGTAAGAGAGACGTGGATGAGCAAAAGAAAGGAAGAAGACCAAAAAAAAAACAAAAAAAAAGAAGTGCAGATTGTACTGCTGATGTAGTTTAAAAAGATTCCCACTGATTTGTGATAGTTTTTCCCAAAATCCACGGTTAAGTAAAAATTGTTCCTAAATTATTAATAGGGCAAATTATAAACACCCCTCGAGGTTTGGTAAAAGAGCCGTGATTGGTAGCTCGAAAATAGCCAGCTCGAATCCCCCGAAAATGAAAAACGACGTCGTTTTTTGTTCAATCAGAAAAGAAGCAGACGAAGACAGAAGAAAGAAGAAAGAAGAAGAGAAGAAGAAGAAGAAGAAAGGGAAGAAGAAGGAAGGGAAAAATCAGCATGCTTGGTTGGAGTTTTTCAAAAACTCTTTTCAGAAAATTCTACTTTCTTGTTTTTTATATTTTTTTTGTTTTTATTGAATTTTTTTTAATATTTTAAGCAATTTTTTATACTTTTTAGATATACCTAACATAAATATACCTAAAAAGTAAAAAATTTGTGAAATAAACCTTTTAAAAATTCATTAAATACTAAAAATACGAAAAAAATATGAGAATTTCGTACATATTTTGTATTTTTATGTATTTATTAATTTTTTAAAATATTTTTTCACAAATTTTTTACTTTTTAGATACATCTAAGTAAGGTGCATCTAAAAAAATAAAAAAAAATGTTTAAAATTTTAAAAATATTAACTAAAAAAAAATACGAAAACCAAAAAACTCAATTTTCAAAAAAATTTAATCTAAAATACTCAAACCAAACACACTGAATGATTTTTTTATAACGATTTTTTAAACTGCCGCTAAAACTTATAATTAATAATATTTTTTGTGACAAAATTTTTAAACTACCACTAAAAATTAATAATTAATACCATTTGTTAATAATATTTAATAAAAAATATTATTAATTATTATAAAGCCTATTAAATAATAAATTCAACTATTAACACTTACACGGAAATTTCCTTACTTTTAACTCTTGTTTTGCCTTTTTATCGCACTCCTTTGTTCATCATGGGGTCGATTGCCCAATCTACCTGATGATGGAGTACATGAAAGCTTGCTTGATTTGATAATCAAAATCGCTTTATTTAAGCCTAGTCTAGAAACCTTAAATTTCACGAGAACGTGACAGAAATTGAACAAGAAAAGAGATTTGTGTTGTTTGCATAATTCCAATCAAGTTCCTCCTTCTCAACAATTCGTAAGTCCCCTGTTCTGTTCAAACAATACAACTTGCACTGTTAATTTTTTTTATTTTTTATTTTTTATTTTGATCAATTATAATTGAGAAACTTGGATTATTGGTTCGCATCTGATTAGAACTTCAGAGATATGGTGATGTTAACTTTTAGTTTGGTGATTTTTATCAGTTGTTTAACCAGAAAGTTTCCTGATGTATTAAGTTTTGAATATTTATCAATTACAGTAGTATTTTCATGACGGATGGGATGATGATAAAGAGAACAAATTTATAGGGTATTTCCGAAATATTACATGGTATTGCGGAAGTGGTGCCTCAAGTAGTAAAAGTTTTTGCTATTTTTGTTAGGTAGTTTTTTTTTTAGGGTTTTTTTTTTTTTTTTTTTTAAATCAGTAAACTCTCCAAGCCTGTCCTCCGTCAATTTTGAAATCAACTACCTAACATCAGTTTAACCGGAGTAGGACACTGATTCCACAACGCACACACCATTTAAGTCAGAGAGTGCAGATGCTAGGATTCAATCTCATACCTAAGTCCTGGATACAGTTTATCCAGTATTTAGAGGGTCATCCTAAGTTCACTACACCAAATCCATGGGAGTTGGTCCTGGGGAGTGACACACCATTTAAGTCAGAAAATGTAGGTGCTAGGATTCGATCTCATACCCAAGCCCTGGATACATTTGTCCAGCACTTAGAGAGTCATCCTAAGATCACTACACCAAATCCTTGGGAGTTGGTCCTGGGGAGTATAGAACTTAAAACCTCAGGGTTTATGTCCCAAAGCCTTACCAAAATGCCGCAATCCCTTGGGTTTTTGGTTAGATAGTTATTAGTGTGTATTGTATTGGAAAATGCTATGAACCTCAAATAATTTACCAAACCTCTCACATGACACCCATATGTGAGAGGTTTGGTAAAAAAATGTAGTAGATTATTTAAAATTCCTAGCATAACTCTTTTCAATTATCAAGACCACTACATAGACAATGTGACATTTTACTCTTTTTTGGATAAGTAAGTCATATTATAACTAAAAAAGAAAGATATACAATGAAATTCAATACACATCCTTTGTAGGGAGAACAAAAATAAACAAAAACAAACTACTCTATCAAAAGAAATAAAACTAAGCCTATAGAAAACAAACCTAACATTCACAACGAAAAGGATTCAAAATTTCTTTCTAGCACTCTTTAAGCTATGAAGTTTCGTTTTGAGTTTTGTTCTGTTATTCTCATTTGTAGTCTCCCCATTCCTACTTGGAGATGGACTTCCTTTATTTTTTAGGCTCTTCATTTGGCATAACAACTTTTGACTTAATTCTCCATTCCCTAACTCTCTCACATCACACGATTCAAGGACATCAAAGGCATTAGATGTTGAAGGGGCAGAAGACTGCATCTCTCTCTCTTTATTTATCACTATCGTTAAACTTTGCCCATCATTTCTCCCATTTTTCTTCACCACTTCCCATTTAGTCAGAATTTGTATTTTAATCTCCTTGACTCTCCATTCTTGTTTGAAAGAGGGAGGGTTCAAAGTCTTTGGCTTTTGAAGGCACAAATTAATGGTATGACCCAAGTCTTACAAACATCACACCTTTGAGGCTTCCATGGAACCTCAACGAGTACGAAATAATTCTTCTCGTATGATCCTGTTGATCAAGCTTGCACTTCTCCAAACGTCGTCGCTTTGCTACCTGAAAATACAAACATGAGCTAACCGGCGGGTGTGTGCCGGAAACTCCTCTGATGCCTAAGTCAGCAACTAGACAATAGATAATAAGCTCTATGTATTCTAGAGTAAGAATTGTTATACCTGTACATAGGTCTGATCATGAGCTTTTATAGACTTGGCTTGGCCCAATCCTAGTAGGATTCCAACTCTCCTTACAAGAGTCCTCCTAGGAATCACACACCCTACTCACTACCAACCAAGTGAGATGGTTTGTACAATCCTAGTAGGACTTTACTCTCCTTAGTAGTGTCCTCCTAGGAGTCACACTCCTACTCACTACTAACCAAGTGAGATGATTTTGCACAATCCTAGTAAGACTCTACTCTCCTTAGCAGAGTCCTCCTAGGAGTCTCATCACTACAAGCCAAGTGAGATGGTTAAACCCCTTACCTCGGTTATACATTCCTGACCGAACTGCCTTATCTCGGTCCCCTGTCATTCGGACCGTGTGATCGAAAGTCGATCTATCGAATGCCACCCTGCCGAGCTATACACAGCTCGGCCCTCGCCGTTGATGTTACCTTGGCTCTGTGCTCAACATGGGCGAGCCGTAATGACCATGCTACAGGTCTACTCTCCTTAGCAGAGTCCTCCTAGGAGTCTCATCACTGCAAGCCAAGTGAGATGGTTAAACCCCTTACCTCGGTTATACATTCCTGACCGAACTGCCTTATCTCGGTCCCCTGTCATTCGAACCGTGTGATCGAAAGTCGATCTATCGAATGCCACCCTGCCGAGCTATACACAGCTCGGCCCTCGCCGTTGATGTTACCTTGGCTCTGTGCTCAACATGGGCGAGCCGTAATGACCATGCTACAGGTTGGTATCTTGCCGAGCTACACCTAGCTCGGCCCATTGCCCTGCCATCATCCCGGTCATAAGGTAAATAGGTCCCAATCCCAGCAACACATCCAACCGTCCTAGTATCTACCTTGGCCCAAAGCTGAAATACAAAATATCTCCTTGGCCCATTGCGCGGCCCAACTTCCAAAGAAGACTCGTCCTAGCTCGGCCCAATTTGCTCACAAATTACCCTCTCAATTGCCCCTTAATTCCATCTGCGTAGCATGATTGAGATTATTTTTCCTCCAGCCGAGCTAAGAACACCCCACTCTGCTAAGCTAAAAAATTGTTCGGTTTCACAGCTTGTTCGGCCCCAATAAGCCTTGTTCAGTTGCTCAACACGTCCTTCCATTAATCTGGTATGTTTGATACGACGTCATTCCCAGGATACGTGATGTGCCCCCATTATCCTCGTCCTCCTACTACAACCGTTATGTACCTTCAAAACTTTGAACAACCAGCCCTACATTTTTGCCTTCAACATTTATATCCTTCAAGTTCGCAATCGCACTAGAAGACGTTCTTTTTGTGTAACCGGGCTAACTGTCATCCCGGCCAAAGAGTGCAAACGTTTTGTTTGGCCATACCTGTCAACCGGTTTTTGCCTATATCTTGATCTCGGCTAAAAGGTGCAAAAAAGTTTTGTTAGTCATACCTGCCAACTTCCTACAGCCTAGATCCTTATCTTGGCTTAGGTAAGTGTTGGTTTTTCCAGCCAACCATTCTTCAGCCTCGATCCTTATCTCTGCAGAAGAGAGCTAAATGTTGGTTATACCTGCCAACTTCCTGCAGCCTAGATCCTTATCTCGACTTAGGAAAGTGTTGGTTTTTCCAGCCAACCTCTTCAGCCTAGATCCTGATCTCGACTGAAGAGAGCTCAAAGTTGGTTATTCCGGCCAACGTTCTTCGGCCTAGATCCTGATGTCGGCTGAAGAGAGCTAAATGTTTGGTTATTTCGGCCAAACTTCTTAATTGCCCCCCAGTCGGGCAAAAACTCTTGTGCAGTCGGTCCTACTTGTCAACCGTGTTAACTCTCGCTAAAGGCTTTTTGTCTGGTATCACTGTTGTGCCAGACTCTTCCTCGGTGGGCGCCCTATCTTCCTCTACCTGGATGTGTTGGTGCATTCTCTCCATTAGGGCTTCCATAGTAAGGGCGGCGTCATTGTCATTGAATCCCTCAACTTATTGCCAACTGGCAAACCTCGTTTGTACTGTGCGATAGCTAGGTTTGTAGGGCAATCTCCAATCTGATTAAAAGTCTCCCAATACCAGTTATTGTATGACCTCAATGTTTCTTTCCCGTCCATGTCTATGGAGAAAAGCTGGCCAATCTCCACTGGTGTCTTGGTGTTCACTCTGAATCTGGTCACAAATGCCCCCGTTAGTTGCCCCTACGAAGCTATGCTACCTTCTGGCAACCTTTCAAATCACGCTAAACCCAGGTCTCCAAGGCTGGAAGGAAACATGATACACATTAGAGCCTCGTTTCACCGATACACGGCCATAACCTGGTAAAAGTGGCTCAAGTGTATGTAGGGGTCTGACTTTCCCTCATAAGTAGTGAATTTGGGCTGGTGGAAGCTTGAGGGTAATGGTGCGTTCTCTATTGTAGGAGTGAACGGTGAGCTCTACAACCTTACTAACGCTTTGTCTGCTGGTTCATAGGCAAGGTGTGGCTCTAGAATTCCAACCTCGACACTCCTATGTGTTCTAGGAGCCAATCGTTGTAGTGCAGAGACTTTGCGGGAGTCGCGAGCCTGAATGTCTTCTCTCCTTTGAGCCCTTTCAATCCTCATTCTCTCAAGCCTGGAGTAGCATGTCCTGAAAGTCTTTGATTGTGTATCACCCGACCTGAGACTTCTACTTTCAGTTTGTGATAGTGTGACTTGTTTATCACGATCTTTTGAGTGGCAAGAGTGTGTGTTGCCTTTGCGCCCCTCTTTTGTTGCCACTCCTTTGCCTTTTATCTGGCTCTTCATAGACTCTATGTCAGCCGCCATTCTTCTTATTACTTCGTCTTGGTCCCTTATGTAATCTTCGAGAATCTGAGGATCTATCTTCCGCCTCTGTCTATCAGGGCTTTGAGAACAGTGTGGACTTGTCTTTCTCTCGCTTCTCTCCGTGGATTCCTTCGCTGGGGATCTAATTCCGTCATGGGTGGGATAGAAGGTAAACCTTCGCGCCTCCCACCCCCTTCCGGGGTTTGCCCATCTATAGCAGATTACGGAAAATCTTCGTTGTGCGCCATTAATTTCAACTAAAGAGAAAAACTCAATCAAAAGGTTTTGTTCTATGTGTAATTCCCACAAACGGCGCCAATTGTACGAGCACGAAATAATTCTTCTTGTATGATCCTGTTGATCAAGCTTGCACTTCTCCAAACGTCGTCGCTCTGCCACCTGAAAATACAAACGTGAGCTAACTGGTGGGTGTGTGCCGGAAACCCCTCCGATACCTAAGTCAGCAACTAGACAATAGACAATAAGCTCTATGTATTCTAGAGTAAGAATTGTTATACCTGTACATAGGTCTGGTCATGAGCTTTTATAGACTTGGCCTGGCCCAATCCTAGTAGGATCCCAACTCTCCTTATAAGAGTCCTCCTAGGAATCACCCACCTTACTCACTACCATCTAAGTGAGATGGTTTGTATAATCCTAGTAGGACTTTACTCTCCTTAGCAGTGTCCTCTTAGGAGTCACACTCCTACTCACTACTAACCAAGTGAGATGGTTTTGCACAATCCTAGTAAGACTCTACTCTCCTTAGCAGAGTCCTCCTAGGAGTCTCATCACTGCAAGCCAAGTGAAATGGCTGAATCCCTTACCTCGGTTATACATTCCTTACCGAACTGCCTTATCTCGGTCCCCTACCATTTAGACCGTGTGATCGAAAGCCGATCTATCGAATGCCATCCTTCCGAGCTATACACAGCTCGGCCCTTGCCATTGATGTTACCTCGGCTCCATGCTCAACATGGGCAAGCCGTGATGACCATGCTACAGGTTGGTATCCTGCCGAGCTACACCTAGCTCGGCCCATCGCCCTACCATCATCCCAGTAAAAAGTTAAATAGGTCCCAATCCCAGCAACACATCCAACCATCCTAGTACCTACCTTGGCCCAAAACCGAAATACAAAATATCTCCTTGGCCCATTGCGCGGCCCAACTTCCAAAGAAGACTCGTCCTAGCTCGGCCCAATTTGCTCACAAATTACCCTCTCAAATGATATGACCCAAGTCTTACAAACATCACACCTTTGAGGCTTCCATGGAACCTCAACTTGAATATCATACGGGTCACCATAACCAAGATTTATTTTGAAAGATTTATGGATATCTTTATTTGTTGGCACTCCAATACATATTCTCACAAACATAAGTTTGCTTCTCTTGAAAGTAGGCTCATCCAAATAAAGAGAAGTTCTCATGATGCTAGCAATGTAACCCAAACTCTCTTTAGTCCAAAGCTCTAAAGGAACCTTATACAACTTCACCCACAACGGCACACTTAAAAATTCACACTTTGTTAATTTTAGTCCTGATTGCCATTTTTTTAACAATAATCAATCTAATCCTAACGTAATAGCGGCCTTCTTTCAAAATTTTGTCCATAACCTCTTCACTTTTTACTTTAAAAATAAAAAAGCCAATATCAATAGAGACAATATCCACAAGCAAATTTCTCCGCCAAGTTTTCATATAATGAAAAGAGAATCTTTTATCAATGAAATATTCAAGGCATTTTTCTAATGAGAAAAGTCTTTTTTTGAGATCTCAATAGGTACATTGTATATGCCATCTACTTGGTTCTCAATCTTATGGGCACCTATGTTATATTTCAATTTTGACACCTTATTAATCTCTTCTTTAACTAAAGAGCTCCAAGCTTATAGAGACTTACTTGATATAGCAGGTGTATCACTATGACATTCACCCTTGCTAGATTGTGTCTTCCATACGTAGTTCAACCGAATCCTCATTTCTACGAGTTCGCACATTTTCATCACTCTTCCGTTGCTTGGTGCCCATTACTTTTCTTTTTTGATTAGCACTGAGTAAGCCAAGTTTATTTGACATTATTATTTCATTTGTCACCAGTGGGGACATAATGGCCAATTTTGGCCATTGCTCAAGATCAGTTAGCACTTTATTTGGTGTGTTCCATGCGTTAGGTGTTTGATGCTACTTTGATAATTGCTCAGTTGAGGCTTGCATTTCTATGGTGTACCAAGATTTCCACATAAACATAGAGCGACACAATCACACTCGATTGAGCTATCCTTTGATTCTACATCCCTTAATCCCTTCTTGTTTTCATTTGAGAGCCCTTGCCATGGTCCCACAAAATCTCCAGATAAAAGAGATTTGGGGGTCCTCAGATGCGTGTAGACCGGCAAGAGAGTACAGTATGCATCTCATTGGTAGATAGTTGAGCATCAACCTGATTATCAAACTCCTTCAAGGATACCTTGGTTGATTTGCACTCGACAGATTTGTTTTTTGATTTACTCTTGCGCTATGTTTAGATTGAGTGATTTGAAGAGAAAAGAAAAGAAATGGAGAGATATGGACTTCTCTTATTTGTTTAGATAACTTAAGTGGAAAGAAATTGAGAGAAATAAAGAGAAACGAAGAGAAACTCATTTATTTTATAACCTTCATTTTCAATCTTCCCAAATGTGGAGAGATTGGGAGAGAAAAGAAACCAATAATATTTTTATAATACCAATTTTGTCCTTATAAAAATAAAAAAAATAAAATGATTGAAAATATAAAAAGATTATTTTGATAATATAACATAAAATAATTTTTTTTTCTTATAAAATCTAACCAAACAAAAAGAAAAAAAAATCATAATCATTTCTTTTCTTTTATTTCTTACTTATCCAAAAATAAATAAATCACAATCATTTTTTTTTTTCCTCTTATAACTTAAATAATCTTTTCTTTCCTCTCCTAAAACATACCCCCCCTTCCCCTCCCAAAAAGAAAAAACCGTCTTATGGCAGGTCAGTATTGAGGCATTCTGTCGAACAGGTCGAGGGCGAGTCAGGACCAGCAAACAAAGCTCTCACAGCTGCGAAGACGCTACCGGAGCTCTTTCACCTAGGCAAACCAGTGACTGAGTCGGCATTGATGATCTCTCTGTTGATGGGACCGAAAATTTCTTTCCGGCAACGGAGGACGAGCAGCAAACAGCCGGCGGCGGAAAGCGAGCGCGGAGGAGCAGTTGGTGACGACCACTTGCAGCAGCTTGTGAGCTTGTCTAATGCCTTCTCACTTTAAATTCAAATGACCTCTTTCTTTCCTCTCTCTTTCAAAAGCTTCGAGTACGGATGATGAACGTAGCAATCAAAACCCTTCCTAGATGAAAACCCAGAGAAAAGAGGCATAAATTTCTTCAGCTTAAGCTCAAAGATAGAAACTTTTGTGCGAGACGATGATCCTCTTATGACATTGGGGCTGTTTGTTGCAGTTTCTATGGGCTGGTTATAAATTATTTTAATTTGAGGGTTTGTGTTAAATTATTTAATGTAATTTCTGTTCATAAATTATTTTAATTTAAAAATTTGTATTAAACTGTTTAATATAACTGTTCATATCTTATTATTTAGAAATAACTTCAATCAGTCGAAAAAATATCAGAGAGGGGAAATAAATAAATAAATAAATGCCTTTAAAAACCATGGAGACAAAGGGAGACAATAAAGTGCATCTCCAACCCATCCTTCAAATATTCAAATTTCAAAGATAAGGCACTCCAACCCATCCTCTAAAGCTCTCTCTATTTGAGAGGGATTAACTCTACTCAAATTGCAAAGCCTCTCTCACTTAGAATTCCAAATAATCAAAATTGCTAGTCAATGGAAGATATTAGCAACTACACTAAGGTTTGCGTTGCAGGAGGCTCTGGGTATATCGGTTCTTGGCTTGTTAAGAAGCTATTACAGAAAGGCTATATGGTCCATGCAACACTGAGGAACTTAGGTCTCTCTCTCTATCTCTCTCCCTCTCCCTCTCCCTCTCCTCTGTATCTGTATCTGTTTTGTGTGTGTGGCTGTAAACCTTAAATATTTTTTCAATGGTTTTGTGTTGCAGATGAAAAATCCAAAGTAGACCTTCTTAGGTCCCTTCCTAATGCAGACACCAGATTAGTACTATTCCAAGCTGACATATACAATCCCACTGAATTTGAACCAGCAATTAGAGGCTGCCAATATGTTTTTCATGTGGCTACCCCCTTGCAGCACAATTCCCAGAGCTCTCAGGTCTGATTCATGATTTTCTGTTCTTGTCTCTCAAATATATATATATAAATTTCAATGAAGTTGAAAATTAATTATGATTCAACAGTACAAGGGTACAACTGAAGCAGCCATTGCCAGTGTGAGGAGCATAGCCGATTCTTGTGTTAGATCACAAACTGTTAAGCGGCTCATCTATACTGCTACTGTAATGTCAACATCGCCATTGAAAGAAGATGGGTCTGGCTATAAACCCTCCTTCAATGAATCCTGTTGGACTCCTCTAAACCTCTCATATACTTTCAGCAATGATGCTTTCCTGGTATGTTGTTTCACTGTTTTGGTTCATACTCCAAATCAATCATTGAATTCAAAGTTTATTTATTTATTTACATATTTTTCTGAGTAGGCATATATTAAATCAAAGACATTAGCAGAGAAAGAAGTGTTGAGCTACAATGAAAAAGAAAATGGAAATTTAGAAGTGGTGAGCCTGGCTTGTGCACTGGTGGGAGGAGGCACTCTTCTTTCCTACTTTACTGTTGGTGCTAGTTTAGCTGTAATCATATCACAGGTTACTGGCAATCTATCTTACTTTAGCGGCTTAAAATGTCTCCAAGATCTTTTGGGTTCAATTCCGCTAGTACACATTGATGATGTTTGTGAAGCGCACATATTCTGTATGGAGAAACAGTCACTGAGAGGTAGATTCTTATGCTCTGTTGTGGATCCAACTATACAAGAGATGGCAAATTACTACCAAGAAAATTATCCCCAACTCAAGATATCACTAGAGTAAGAGATTCTATTGAACTTTACTAGATTGTGTTTCAAAAATCTATTCCTGCTTATAACATAAATTTCAAGCTTGGATGAGTTAAATTCAAATTGATGAGAGAGTTCATTGTCAGCAATCTAACAATATAAGTTCATTTCTAGGCTCATGCGAGGACCAGAGAGAGGAAGCAGCTGTGATTCTACAAAGCTGATGGAAATTGGTTTTCAGTACAAATATGATATGAAGAAGATAATGGATGACAGTGTGGATAGCGGAATAAGACTAGGAGTTCTGTCGCTCGACTAAATTGATTGGTTACTTTCCTAGCATATTACCTGTCTTTGTTCTGCACACTTTTTCTGTACCCATAAATTTTCCCAAAAAAATACAGTGGAAACCATGAACCCATGCTTTTTGGTTCAATAATACAGCTATGACCAACAACAGTCTCACTTAGTTGCTTGTTATCAGATTTATGAAATTCTTCAATTACTCTTTGATCACCCCAGCAACATACGGTTTTGTTGCTCCAAAATCTTTTATTTTCAGTAATTCAAAGGTAAAAAATTGTACTGGACTATTTGAATGTAGCAAAGGCATATGATCAAGTATATTTGCAGATTGTTGTGACAAATGATATATGTTATGCTGGATACACTGCCTGCAAATTAGGTGTGAATTGAAGCTCTGTTTACAACCCAGTTTCCTGCAGAGGTTACTAGTTTTGTATGTGCTTGTTTATGGGGATGTAAACAAGCCAAGTAATGTGGTTTCCAAGATTGGTTTGAAAATTTAAAAAGATCTTTAAAGAAGTGTTCAAAGTTAGTTTTTAACTTTCGGGCCAATCTCAAATGAGTTTCAATAACATGTCACATGGCGACATCTTAGACCCACGTTGCCCTACTTAAAATTACATCCCCATACTTACGTCTGAGACATTTCGATATATGTTTTCAATGGACATTGCTAGCAAGACCAAAAGTACAATAATTTGCAAGTTCAGATATGAATACAAAATTCGTTTGTTATACCATATTCAACTTCAATTTCTAGGCAGGAACTTAGAAACTCATAGATTCTAATTTGTACAATCATGCTTTCTCTCACATTTGCTTTATTGGTTTCTCACAAACGTTGTAATTAATTAATAGAAATATCCAGGGGTATCAAATGGGAAATTTGGATCTAGATCAACAACAGAGTCGATTGAGAAACCCAGGTCCAAAATTGGAGAATTGGTAACTGAATTGTTGGTTGAGATGATTTCAGTGAGTTCAGAACCTGAATGTTGCAAATCATGAAACACTCCAAAGTTGTTCATCATCTGGTATGGAGAAAAACTGTCTTGGTACTCGTCATGAACATGTTTTGAAATTGGGAAATTTTGGTTTTGGTTTTGGTTTTGGCTCTTCATCCATTCAAATGATGTGGAAGGAGAAGTGAGAGGAGAAGTCATGTCTTTAGTGTCCAAGTCGTGAGTATTGACTGTTAAGCTTGTTCTAAAGTGCATGTTATTGGGTGGTTGGTGGTGGTTGTTTTGCTTGTCTAGTGATGCTGGTGGTGGTGGTGCTGGTGGAGCTGTATGGGGGGTCTGGTTGCATTCGTGCCTCCCTTTGTATATGATCTCAAATACGGTGGGGTCGTCATCGGATCGTTGCACTTGCTTTGTAGCCCAACAGTTTTGACTGTTCCGATTTGTGCATCTGTAATAGCTTCTGCAAACATAAAAAACAAGTAATTAGCTTCTTTCTTTTTTTTCTTTTTTTTTAAAATGTGTCACTTTTGTGCTTGTTACAGTTTATAAGACAAAAATAACTTAAATAAGCTGATTATTGAGAAGTACAGACTGAGGTGTTTTTAGCTTATGATTTCTGATTATTAGTTTTCGACTTGTTAATTCACCTGGGATATTTGGTGCCCAGAATGTCTTTCTGCCCATATTTTCTCCAACTATAGCCATCATCAATGGGCCCTTCAAATCCATTCTCTGAGCTAATCCTCACTTGATCAGTCCATGTGGGCAATACCTTTCTGCAACAACCACCAATTCAAGTATTATTAGCTAAAGCCTTACAATAGTCAAAATTGACCCAAAATATATATATATATATATATAAACACTTTTGAGATTTTATAATATAGGAATCCACACACACACCTCTTCTTGGAGACAACATTCTGGTCCTGGTGATGATCCTTAAACCCCCCACCATTACAGTCCTCGCTCCGAGGACTTCCATCACCAGAAATAGAAGACTCAGTCATGCCAGTGGTCGGTGCCGATGACTTGAGAATCAACAGAGACTTCTCATAAGAAGATAGAATCCTCTGTAGTAAAAGTTGTCGGTTTTCGGCAGAGGATGCTGAATTCAGATGAAATCTTAGTTGCTTGGCTATCTCCATCCCTTGTGTCAGCTCATTGATCAGTGACTTCTGCTCCAATTTCAAACCACTGTCCATTGTACACATATTAGTAGGCTTTCCAATTTGCAGAAAAAGAAGAAGACAAAAGGAGTGTGGAAGACGCAGAAAATGGTAAGTAAGAGTTGGATAGATTGCAGAAGTGGGAATTGGAAATGGGTGGGAATTGAGATGGAAAAGTGTGGTTTTCACTCATGTGATGTTGAAAGTAGAGGTATGTGAAGCTGAGGAAGAAGAGAGTGAAAGGGTTTGAATTTAAAGAGAGAGGCATTTGGTAGAAGGGAAGTGTAGGACTGTGGAAAGGGAGTGAGAGAGAGTTGAAGTTTGACTGAGAAAACGAGTTTTTTTAATTTTCTATTTCAGCATAGACTGGTCTTTGGTCATAGGAGAAGAAGTGGAGTGGAGATGATTAGTATGGATAGATGAAGGTCCAAATGCTGACCAATTCAAATTCCACAGAAGGTTCAAAAACTGTTGGAGAAAGTTAGGAGTTCCAAATATTGACCACTTCAAACCTCTAAATGGGTCTCACCCCTTCTCTTATTATTATTTTTTTTTTTTTTCCTTTTTTTGGCTATCTTGATTGGAAAATTTTTAAAAAGCATAGCATGTCACATTATTTACGTAATGTTCCTAACAAATAAAAATAACAACATATAAGTACATTATCTTTTGTAGCTAACTAATGTGAGTTATTACGTCTAACTCATAAAATTTTATACTACGTGATTATTAGGAATATCACGTAAATAATGTCACGTGGTTATATGTTGGGGGAGTAATCAATAATTATATTTTGGATAAATTACCTACACCCCCTTGAGGTACAAATTCTTCCTGAGGTTTTAGAAATTACATCCCATCCCTAGAGGTTTATATTCGTATAACAATTTACTCCATGCCGTTAAGTAAACATTAGGAATTATTCTTGATGAACGATATTGCCCCTGATACCTTACCAAAGCATTGAACAACTTGATTTAACTTGAAATCCCTTTGATAAGTCAACAAACTTTACAAAAGAATTATGTTAGATGGAAAAAGAAATTATTTTTTTTAATTTTTTAAATTTTAAAATATTTTGGATCACTCATATATATCTAAATCATAATAAATTATTTGACAAATACTTAAAAATAATAAAATATTTTTAAAAATACTAATAAATAAATAATAATTTAAATAAAAAAATAAAAAATATTTCTTTTCATTGTTTTTTTTTTTAAATAGAGTTCTGTAAAGAATTTTGAAAAGAGTTTGGTTATGAGTTTTGAAAATTTTTATTCAAATCATAATTTGAGTTCTAAATCAATTGCTACCTAAGTTTTTGGAACCATGTTTGATATGTTGTTTAGAAAAAAATTTCAGAATATGTTTTTGAAAAATTGGAAACTAATTTAATAAAAATATATTTAATTTGTAAAAATTATTTCTAATCTCTCAAAAATAAAATTATATAAAATGATTATTATTTTTTATTTTTTATTTCTTAACCAAATTAATTTTTAATTTTTTTTAAAAAAAATTCTAAAACAAATACTGAGCAACTATTGACTGACTTGACATGATATATCAGTCAAATATCATCATTTCTCTATGTAATACAGTTAGGGATATTTTAGTCAATTTACTATCTTTGTGAACGACATTAATTGCAATGGGGTGGAATGTAATTTTTGAAACTTTAGAGGAGAATCTATATTTAACTAAACTTCAAAAGGGTGTAAGTAATTTGCACGTATATTTTATGATTAAGTCTAAAATATAAATAAATAAAATAAAGGGTAGGTAGAATTTAAGGAAGTACTTTGGAGGAAAGAGTCTTCAAACCTTTTAAACCGCGTTAGGGCAATATTAGCAGAGCAGAGGATTCGGAAAGATAAGGTAGAGAGAGAGAAATCATTAGTGCACTTGTGACTTCATACACCTAGTGGCTCATATTTATATTCCTCCTGCATGTATCATTGTCCAACTATTTTGGTAGTTCGAAACATTAATTAATTCAATTGAAACTTTCATTAAATCACCAAAAAATCTCTCTTCTTCCTGAGCAAGGATCCTCTAGAGTTTTTTTTCCCTAAAGTTTTCTAGAGTGGTGTGTTGTATGGTTGAGATTTAATGACAAGTCACATCAATTTTTTAGTATTAAATCTCACCCATACAACACACCACTTTAGGAAACTTTAGGAAAAAAAAACTCTAGACGATCCTTGGTGCTTCTTCCTATCTATTTTAAATTGTCGTAAGATAAACTTTCTTAAAATATATGTTTTGTGCCATTTTTGTCATTCAATTGTGTCAATTTGATTTTCAAATTTCTTAATTTGATTTAATTTAGTCTTTATTCTACGACACTCAATGTTAAACCTACCTTTAAAAATCAATTTGCAAGAGAGGGTATTCAAAAACTTACATGTACATCGTTAAGCTCTCACTTTAGTAATGTAACAAACAATTATTAAAATCGTAACATACTATCATGTAGCAAAGTTAATAGTTACAATGACCAACTCTATCGACATTAATCTGGTAATTGACTTTTTCCTTCTAGTGGTTCACTCGTCTATCAATATGCAACACAATATGTGATGACCCGATACGTAATTCGTCTCATCCTCTTGAGTTATGTTGGATTTACTTTCATTAGAGTGTTGGGTTTTACAATTGTGCCAATTTGATTTTCAAATTTCTTAATTTGATTTAATTTAGTCTTAATTCTACGACACTCAATGTTAAACCTACCTTTAAAAATCAATTTGCAAGAGAGGGTATTCAAAAACTTACATGTACATCGTTAAGCTCTCACTTTAGTAATGTAACAAACAATTATTAAAATCGTAACATACTATCATGTAGCAAAGTTAATAGTTACAATGACCAACTCTATCGACATTAATCTGGTAATTGACTTTTTCCTTCTAGTGGTTCACTCGTCTATCAATATGCAACACAATATGTGATGACCCGATACGTAATTCGTCTCATCCTCTTGAATTATGTTGGATTTACTTTCATTAGAGTGTTGGGTTTTAACGTATAGTCATGTCAACTGTTGGGTTCATTGTTTTGAAAACTTTCCTCAAAAATTTTCGTTCTTATTTATTTCTATCTCGAGTTTCACTTGTTCGGATGGTGCAAGGTTGGATCCGGAATACCTTGGGCTGAATTGGAATTTTTCTGACTGAAGGGTAGAGCTGCACATACGGGGGCTTGGGCTGCACGTGCAGGAGAGGGGCCGCACGTACGGGATATGAGGCCGGACGTGCGGAAAACAGGGGTTGGTCGAGTGCTCTACTGCATTATATGCAGGTGCGAAGTAGAGGTGCGGGGAGAAAGTGCCGCACATGCGTGCGGGACTCCGCTGAGTCTGAAAATTCTGTCTTTTCTCTCTTTTTGGACTGAGTGTGTATCACTTTTCCATTATATCCCTCTCTCTAGAAACACATTTCTCTCCCTTCTCTCTACATTTACCTACACAAAACAAGATCAAAACCTTGATTTCTTTAAATCCATTGGATTTTTGAACCAACATCCTTCATTAAAATTGGATAACTTCTCGAGGGTTTCGTTGTGTGCGGTGAAGATCGGGTTTCGTCACCATTGGATTTGGGGCTTTCATCTCTTTCTTCTCCAAAACTTGAGGTAGAATTTTTTTAGAGTTATATATACAGATCCGATTCGTAGCTCGAAATTAGCGTGGCTCGAATGGCCCGACATCAAAACGACGTCGTTTTGAATTTTTTTTTCTTTTTTTCTACGTTTTTCTGCAGATTTTTCTAATGAAGAAGAAGAAGAAAAAGAAGAAGAAAATGAAGAAGAAGAAGAAAAAAAAAATGCAGAGAAAACAGAGTATCTTCATCAACACATCATCAACAACATCTTCATCAACACATCATCAACAACATCTTCGTCAACATCATCATCATCAATAAATTTTTTTTTTTTGATGAATTAATCTTCAAATCCAGATCAACTAAAAAAAAAATGTAGAGAAAACAGAGTATCTTCATCTACACATCATCAACAGCATCTTCATCAACACATCATCAACAACATCTTCATCAACATCAACATCATCATCATCAACACATCATCATCATCATCAACAATTTTTCCCCCCCTCATCTTCAGATCCAGATCAACTAAAAAAGAATTAAAAAAAAAAAAAAGAGTAGAGTTTGAAAGAGGCGATACCCACCGGCGCCGCCACCGGTAGAGAGAGAGAGACGCAACCTTCTCTTCATCCTCTCTTCCTTCTCTCTTCTCTCTTCTCTTCGCTCTCTCGCCTCTTCTCTCCTCTGTATGTGAAAGCAACTGAAGCAAGAAAATTATCCACCCAAAAAAAAAAAAAGTCAAAACGACGTCGTTTTGGCTATTCGAGCCACATTTCTCGAGCTACAAAGTATTATTGTGATATATATATTTTTGCAAGATATAGTTGATTTTGAAACCCCCTTTGATAGTATTGAAATTGATTTTTGATTCAAGAATGTGAGAAATTTTGAAAGTAGGTTTACTCCTTGTTTCTTTGAAATAATCTCTTGAGGGTTTTGAACTACATTGGCGGAAAAAAAAATGTTTTTGGAGAGATCCTTTCAAATGATCAGGACATGTATAGTTGTGGTGAGAAAACTTAAAAATTTGGGAATTTTAAAAGATGTTGAGAATCCATGGATAACATTGTTACTATTATATTTCTTTTGTGCCAAAATGAATGAATGATTGAAAATTTTCTTATTTTTATATACAAATGACGAATTTCATGGAATATGATAATTTTTTATCTTGGAAGTTATTGTCCAAATGTTGATATAGTCTTGTGATGACTAAATTGTTGGTAATGCACAAAGTATGAGAATGTTGCTACTCATTGATGGATTTAAAAGAGTATGTAGCTATTTTGTGAAATGACATTGAAAGGAGAAATGGAAATTTTGATTATTGTGGAATTATTGTATGAGATAATTGAAAACGGAGAAACGTTACGTGGCATTGATAATTGTGGTATTTGCATATCCATTCAATTTGTTGTTACAAATTTTGAATTGAGTTTGGAAACTTTTGCTTTGAGAAAAGAAGGTTTGTGAATTAATTTTATTTCATGAAATTGTTTTGGAGTAAATACGTTGGTAAGTCCGGATAGGAGATGTAGATAAAATTGATTAAGTTGGCCTGAGTATCCGAGGTGAAAGACCGAAAAAACACACAGAGGAGGTACCACTTTCATTCTGGTTAGCTACCGGTAAAGTGGGGTTTTGATAGTGTTAGTTATGCCTACTTGTAGACACCAACCTAGGGATTACCTGAGTCGTATTTACCGCCCCTTGAACTAAATTGAACTTTTTTTGAAATGTTGAGGTTTCAAGATATCATTGAGTGTGATGGTTTTCAAAAGATGAGGAATGTAATTTTTTTCTCAAAAATGCATAGCATGACATGTGCATTTTATTTCTTGAGACTTGTATAAAATATATATACTTTATTAAAAACTTCCTACTAGACTTTATGCTCATCCTATGGGATTTTGGTGCAGGAAAAGATGTGGTGATTTCGCCGAATTAGGGCGTAGGTGTATATGTTGAGAGCACAAGGCTCTTGTTTTGTTGTGGTATATTTTGTTAGCCAAGGGCTATAATTGTATAGGTTCGATAAACCATTTTTGTGTAACCAGGTTTAAGCCTTGGAATTTGTAAACCCTTGAGGGTATTTATTTATTTTTAGATTGAATGTTCTACATGCTATAGATTCATGTACTAGAAACCATTGAATGTATATTTGCATGTGGAATTATTTTGTATAAACCCCATGATCATGTAATGCAAAGTGTCGGGGATTTATTCCGATTTATCATAAGGAGTCATGGTTATTGTTCTATCTTTTTACATAATTTTGGGGCGTTACACAATAATACTAATGTCTTCTAATCCAATTATAAGTCACCTCTTCCACAATTAGAATTGTAAAACTGCATATAAAACAAGGACGTAGAATAAATTTTGGCTTTGTGAATTGTGGTTTATTAGAAAGAGTATGGCTGCCTTTTATAAAGAATAGAATGAGTACCCTCAATGTGATCCCTACACCGCAACACCCTCAATACTTCAGGGACCTCACCTCTAACTCACCATTGACTGAAAGAGAGATCAACAGAGGGAGAGAGAGAGAGAGAGAGAGATGGAGGCTAGGGAGTTGTTGGTGAGTGTCAGGGATTGCTGGAGCTGGTGGTTAGGGTTAGGTTTTGATCTCTACCTCGCAAGCCCCTCATATTTTGACGGCCTCACCTCCCTCAGAGGTGAGGGTAAAAAGTAAAAATGTAACCACCCTTAAAACAACTACATGTATGTATTAGGGTAAAAGTGTAGAAGGACTATGTCTATCTAGGATAATTTAATCTACATATATATATATATATATGTATATATAAGTTTGTCCCATCATCTCTCGTCTCTCACTCTAGTCTTTTCATCTCTCATTTCAGTCTTTTCCTATGATAGCTAAGAGAGCTTCTGTTATTGCTACGCATTTTCCATCATTAAGCACCATTTTCGAAAAGCTTGGAGTGCTTCAAAGCTCAAGGGTATGAGTCTATGATTATTTTTCATTTCTTTTTTATTTATTTTGATTTACATGAATTTTTTCTTAACTACATGTATGTATTAGGGTAAAAGTGTAGAAGGACTATGTCTATCTAGGATAATTTAATCTACATATATATATATATATATATATAAGTTTGTCCCATCATCTCTCGTCTCTCACTCTAGTCTTTTCGTCTCTCATTTCAATCTTTTCCTATGATAGCTAAGAGAGCTTCTGTTATTGCTACGGCATTTTCCATCATTAAGCACCATTTTCGAAAAGCTTGGAGTGCTTCAAAGCTCAAGGGTATGAGTCTATGATTATTTTTCATTTCTTTTTTATTTATTTTGATTTACATGAATTTTTTCTTACTTTATTTTTTTTTTTTTGGCTTTTCATACTTATGAAGCATGCAATTGCTTCGACCGCAGATGAAGATGAAGATAAATAAAATCATGTACGGAAAGCAAACTGAGTTTCTTCAGAAAGCTTTGAAAAAGGTTGAGAAGAAGAAGAACGATGAAGAGGAGATTAATGAGAAGAACAAAGACAAAAATGAGAAGCACAATTTGGAAAAGTAGAGATTCTAAGGATGATTTTTCACGAGGAATCCCACTTACTCATCCACTGTCATACATAAGTTCCATTAACTCCCTTAGATCATCTACAATAGTGTATTTGTATGTGTTTGTCTAGGAAGTTAAAAGTTTTTGTAAGTCAAAAAAGCAAAATAGGGCTCCAATGAATGTGTTAAAACTACTTGTTAAGCTTGTTGAATTTGTGTCAACTGTATACAGTAGTTTATCAAACAAGAAAGATGAGAGAAAGGGAAGATTGTGTCAAATTTGTGTTGACTATATATACTACACTTAACATACACTTTAACATCTCTCTATTGTAAGGTCCATACGGTCACTAAACTAACAAATCATTACACACAAAATTGGGTTACTTTTATTTCTTTTTTTTATATGACAACACAATTTTAACATTTCCAATGAAGATGCTCTTATGATAAGAAGTAATCATGAGAATCCATCTTTCTGACCTGTCACGGCCTCAGTGAAGCAGCACCAGTCCTTTACAAAGAACAGAATAAGTAGAGGACTAGTTGAGCACAATTTGAAAAGATAGATTCAAAGAATGATTTAACACAAGGAATCCCAGAATCCCACTAACTCCATTGTTATATAGAAGTCCCATTACTCCCTTGTGATGTCCATACGGTCACTAAACTCATTCTGAACCTATCCATGACCTCAGTGAAGCTGCACAAGTCCACTCATAAAACCTCCCCATGGGGAAACCAGGACAACAATTTCGGCCAAAAGATAACAGGAATGGCAACTCAGGTATTGAAGACATTCACTGAAAGTAGCCATGAAGACTGGAATACAACAGGCAGGAAGCCGGAATGTCATGGTTCAGTTTGCACTTGGAAGCCTGCTGCCGGGAATGAGATCAAAAAGAAAGAAAAGAAAGACAAGCTTGAAGTCATTGGTGCACCTAAGAAAACAGAGAAGTATCTGATGAAGAAGAAGAAGAAGAGCAAAGATGATTCTTCGGATAACAGCAGCACGGGCAGCAGCAGCACCGGCAGCAGCACCAGCAGCAGTGACAGTGAAGATGATGGTTATAACAAGAGGAAGGTTCGTGTCATTAACTCTTAATATGATGTAATTAATTGTCTAACACTTGGTTCTCAATGGTAGTAGTGGCGAGCCACATTGAGATCAAATACAAAATAGAAAATTGATGCAAAGGCAATCACACCAAGCAAAACAAATATTTCACATGGATCAAACTTGAACCTAGACAATAGAAAGATTTCTATTAGCAGAGCAGAAGAAGATAGTGATACAACACTGAAATCATAACCTCTCTGTAGTATGAGAGCTATCAACTCTACCCAAATCCTCTAATCAAACCAATATATAATTTGGGTCCAAAGATACCAAAAAAATATAAATAAATAAATTTAGCTAAATTACTGAATATATGAGCTTTAAATAATTATTCATCACAGAATATCAAATCAAAGAAAATACATAATCAAAGTACTTTCATGCACCTGTACTGAGGCCACATCCATGGGTGGAGATAATTTAAAAAAAAAAAAAAAAAGGCACAAACAAAGGCACACACACACACACACGCTACTTCGCATTCCAAAAGTAAAATAGCATTCACTCAACAAGGAATTCACTTTGCATGGCTTCGTTTTATGTTCTGATGCCTAGTAAGTTCTTAACAATACATTGTTCATCAAATTTTTTTGTTTTCTAATACTTCTTTTTTGTGTATGCAGAAATAAACAGTCAATCACAAGCGAGCAGAAAAAAAATGAGCACGATGTAAAATAAGAAGAATAAAGGCACAAAGCAAACACTTTATGGACATAAGTACGAAAATAAAAGTCCATGAATCATGTCTATTAATGCCACGATTATATTTAGTTGCTTAATAATTGTGGTGTGCATCATGCAATAATACATGTATGGCATGTTTGATTGGAAGGATTAGAGCATGGTATTGGGATTATTAATCCGCAGGTCTAATTATCCTATGTTTGTTTTGACATTTTGTTTTAGGATTATCAATCCAATGGATAATTAATCCAATAAATTTGTAGGATTATTAGTAATGGGGTAGGGGTGGGACTATGAATACCACACTAATTTGATTGGATTATTAATACCTCACTATTAGTCTTGTGGAATCAAACATGGCAGTATTGTACTACCTGTTCTGTTCTATAGATATACCTAGCTTTTTCGTGACAGCAGAACAATCTTACAAACTAATTTGACAACTCAGGGCATATTTATCAGCAATTCCCAGAATTTGAGTTTTCAAGACTTGAACCAAACTGTATTCAGCTTAATGTAGAACATTATGTTTTCAAAAAGAGCTATAGAGAATAATAATTTCCAGCAATTGATAAATAACATATGCAAGCACTTGATATTATACAACACGAATACGTCAAAAACAACATAGTTTTAGTCCTACATGTCCATTAAGCAACGTGATTTAAAAGTATCCAGACTCCAGTTCACAGTAACACAACCAAGCAATACTTACAAGACATACTACATGCATCACAAAAGGCAGCAAGGCACAGATCCAAAAACTCCTGGGTTAGACAGTAGACCACTTAAGCAGTAGAAGTGTCACCTTCCTCCTATAGACTTGGAAACAAACATTGCAATGGCACGAACTGCCTGATCTTCAGCTTCTTCTTGGGTGAACCCCTTTGATTGCAGATGCTTCTTCGCAATCTTGAAAGAGTGGTCACCACCTTCAATCTCATGCAACCCATTAACAGATTTCATCTTTTTCCGAACAGGTTCCAGCTTTTCCAATGGACAAAACCCATCCTTGCTACCCTTCATGGAACAAAATCACTAGACATTAAGTAACACAAACCAAGAATCACCTTCAATCTCATGCAACCCATTTGGAGATTAACTTTTTTTGTTAACAATAGAGTGAAGAATGACACCATATCTCAACCAAGTCCAAAATCAGTGTTACAAAGAGCACTCCAAATGTCAAGAAACCCAAATGTTTACCAAATGTAAAACATCATGTCGTTGAACTCTAAAAGTGCATCACTGCTTGGAGTTTATGATCATCATAGATAAAAATATAGAAGGCAATTTATTAATTATGGCCCATGGGACTAGCAACTTAGTACCCCACAATTCGAATGCTTTTAGTTTCATAATGAGATAAGACAATGAAGGTGCATGGTCTTACTTGTACAAACATAGTAGGGACTGTGAGTTGCAGCAATGTCTCGTCTCGCACTGCTCCATTCATGCCCTGAAAAATTGAGCAAGTGCATGAAGTAGTTCAAGTAAAATAGTTCAATTAGCAGCAGGAAAATTTTGTTATTGGCTTTTTCATTTAAAAAATAGCACAGATAATCGATTGCCAATCTCAATGAACAGGTGGTGCCATTTCAACCAGGAACACTCCAGCCAACCCTAGAATGCTTGGAGGCATGCCATTACCACTACAATTAAAAAGGCAAAAAGCTGATTGCCATGTAACATGTTATAAGGATTAGCTTAGTAATTAGCCAATATTATGACGGGACACTCATTTTAACACAAATATTAGTATAATTTACATATATATATTGATAACAGGGTGTCCGGGCCAGCTTGCACACAATAATTTACATATCTTATTGCAGAAATAAAACAAAACAACTTGGACAGTACTCTGATAAGCAAATAAAACTAGCGACACGGCTTTGATGGAGCATGGAAGCAGCCTTTGAAGGTGTAAAACAGCTGTGGCAATTACGTTTCTAATGCTCAAACTTTAATTTGGAATATGCTAGATGAAGGGGAACCCATTTGGAGTCTAGGATAATTACATGTTGGGCTTTGATTAAGTCATATGTTATGTTTATTCAGGACATTGTGGAATACAACCCTAACTCTAGATGCAATTCCTAAACATTTTAGGAATGATTCTTTTCTTCTTTCTTCATCTACATTTCAAGTTTTCTACATCTTACCATATTAAAGCATTAAAACCAGATACCAAAAACAAACAAAAAAAAAAACTCAATCAGCTTCAATTTTAATGTTCATTGAAACTGTTCACTGTTCAGGGAACAACCCTTGGACGGTCCTCAGAAATCCCATAATATAGTCTGAAAAATAAGTCCAACAAATCACTCAGAACTCTAAATGGTTGTTCTGTTAGAATAATATCTTTGTTATTGTGGTTTATTATTCTGGTTAGTTGTCATTAGTTATAGTTTCCTTATTTGTGCCTTGAGGCTTCTATTGTATGTTTCATATTATTAATATATAAGGGAGTGATGGTCTCATTAAGTTTGATTTTCCCTAAAACAAACATAGTATCAGAGCCAAAACCCTAAACCCATCACCCACATACCTTCCGACAACAACCAGCCACCACCCATCATCACCCATCACCAGCCAACCATTTGTCCACCAAGTTTCGGCATCTTCTCTTGCCTGTCTAAGGTCTACAACAGCAGCAAGAGGATGCCCAGGCCCAGCCAACACCAGCCGGAGGCCACCTAGGACAAGCCGACAGCTCCTCTGTCTGTTTAGGCCCAGTCAACAGTCCCCTTGCCCTCTTTCGGCTCTCGCTGATGTCCCTTTGAGGCTTGGTTCATCATATGTAGTGATTGGTCCATCTAGAAGCTTGTTCTATAACTTTTTCCCTATTTTTCTGAGAATAGTTCAGCCACTGTTTTGATTGAAGGTTCCTTTTTCCTTAATTTAATTTATTTTTTGGGTCATTATATGGCCCTATTGATATGATTGGTATGCTCCCATAGTGATCTATGTTTAATTTTGCTTATTCCAGTTTAGTCCATTCCATCTTCTCATAATTGTAATTAGTACAGTTTTTTGGTTGTGATAGTAGAGTATAAATGGTTGAACTGTCTAGTGAGTCTACCACTACTTCTCACCCACCCAAAGGGGAGAGTTCCATTATGACTACTACATCTAAGAACCATAATCCCAGCTCAAAATCACTACCTCTACTTAATGGTCAAAATTACCTTGCATGTCTTAACAGTTTTTTTGAACAATAGAGGAAAGATGGGTTATATTGACAAGAGAGTCCGAGCACCAGATATCACTAATCCAGGTCATGACCAATGGAAGATTACCAATTCTTTGATTATGGGATGGCTCATCCATTCCATGGTTTCTGATATTGGTGAGGGTTACTTATATATGGAAACGGCCCCGGATGTTTAGGATGCCGTGGCCTCTACTTACTCCCGAATGGGGAATTTCTCACAGACTTTTGAGTTGCACCGCTCGATTGAGTGCTCGGTACAGGGTAAGATGACCATCCTTCAGTACTTCACTTTCCTTAGTAATGGCTGGAAACGTCTGGATCACCTTTAGGACTACAAACCAATCTGTCTAATGGATTCTGTGGGGTACCACAAATTTATTGAACAGAAAAGAGTCCTCAAATTTCTGGAAGGCCTTAATGTGGAGTTTGATCCTGTTCGGAGTCGTGTTCTTGGCATGCATGTTCTCTCTTCCCTTTAGGAAACGTTTGCTTACGTACAGAATGAGGAGAGTCCTTGTTCAACTATGCTTCCTCCTATCTCCATAGAGTGCTCTAAATTAATTTATGCTCGTCCTAGAGATGGGATTGTCTGTCGCAATCCTTTTGAAAAGGATAATTTGTTTTGTGATTAGTGTCGCCGACCTAGACTCACTAGTGAAATATGTTGGAAGCTTCATGGTACTCCATCTGGGGGTCGGGGAGGTTGATTTGGACAGTCTCGAGGATGTGGGTTTAATCCACGTGCCCAACATTCTAGTGCGGTTGATATACATGACTCTGCTCCAGCTATTCAGTCTACTGATGATGCGCCTAGTATGTCTTTTTCTAAGTTTGAGAATGCTCTATGTCACTTGCTGGACCGCCCAACTTCCACTATTCTTACTGGTACATCTTCCTCTTCATCCGCCCATTCAGCTAACTTAGTTTCTTCTACAAGTGCTTTCCTATCTCATAAAGCTTTGCCTTAGATTATTGACTATGATGCCTCGAATCATATGACTGGATCTTCTAATCTTTTCTTAGAATATAAGCCCTCTTTAGGTTAGGACAAAGTTAGGATTGCTAATGGTACCATTTCTTCTATTTCTAGAAAAGATTTAATCCACTCCATATCTGCTTTACCTTTGTCATCAGTTTTACATGTTCTTAGTTTCTCTGTTAATCTTCTATCACTAAGTCATCTTACTCAGGATTTAAATTGTAGTGTAACCTTTTTTCCTAATCATTGTCTTTTTCAGGACCTTATCATGAGGAGGACGATTGGCAGTGGTAGAGCAGAGAATAGTCTCTACATCTTGGATCAGGCAGATCACTTGACTCATCACACCATCCAGACTCCAACCACCAAGAACGACATTTGACTTTGGAACTAGCGTCTAAGACATCGATCCTTTTTATTGCTTAAGAATTTGTTTCCTTATTCTTTTATGAACAATAATGTTTCTGAGTTTAATTGTGAGCCGTGTCAACTCAGCAAACAACACCGAACTTCTTTTGCCTCAAGTATTAATAAAAGTTTTGTTCTTTTTTCATTGATTCATTCTGATGTCATGTTTCATTAAAAGGCCATGGATGGTTTGTTATCTTCATTAATGATTTTTCTCTTACTACTTGGGTGTATTTACTAAAAGAAAATAGTGAGATTTTCTCTGTATTTCAAACATTTCATTGGATGATTCGAACTCAATTTGGGGTTGTCACCAAAATTCTGCGTTCTGATAATGGGGGTGATTATATTGATTCAGGATTAGGGCAATATTTCAACACTTATGGCGTTATTCATCAGACATGTTGCACCAACACCCCTTAACAAAATAGGTTTGCGGAACGCAAGAATCGTCATCTTCTCGATATAGCTCATTGCATGACTTTTTCTATACATACGCCTCGGTCCTACTTGTGTGAAGCTATTCTCACTGCTACCTATCTTATCAATCACCTTCCTACTCAAGTGCTACACAAGCAAACCCCTTTTTAGGTATTCTTAGGCTCTCAATCCGTATCTTATGTTCCCCCTCAAAGTTTTTGAGTGTCTGTTTTGTTCACAAACATTCTCCTTCTCCTGGTAGAATGGATCCCCGTTCTATTAAGCGTGTATTTCTTGGATACTCACATACTCAAAAGGAGTATAAGTGTTATTATCCTCCTTCTTGTGAGTGGTTTGTGTCCGTAGATGCCACATTCTTTGAGTCTCAATCCCGCTCCTTGTCCTCTCGGGTTTCCCAATCATCCCTTTAGGTGGAGCTTTGGTGTGAAGAGATTCTTGTTTCTGAATCCTTACTAGTTGTTGAGGATGTAGCATGTGAACTATAATGTGAACCAGCTATTGGGAATACAGAAGTTGATACGTCAAAAAGCAAGGAAAAGTTTATGTCAGGGACAAAGAAAGATAAAAGATTACTTGGATCCAAGATACCACTTCTCCTGATCTTCCACTACTGTCTCTTTCAACTGATGAGAATCCAGGTAACTCTGATAACCTTGTACACACATATCTTGATATTCCTATTGCCTACCGAAAGGATGCGAGGTCTGTTGTACTCAACATCCTATCTCTAATTTTGTATCTTATTCTAATTTATCTCCCTCATATAGAGCCTTTGTGTCAAAAAAAAATTCTGTTAGTATACTTGATCATTTCCAAGATGTTCTTACCACCCCTAAGTGGAAACATAATTGAAAAAATGAAAGCACTTCATAAAAAAGACATTTGAAAATTGACAGAGTTACCTAAGGGCAAAGGAACTGTGGGATGCAAGTGGATGTATACTATGAAGCACAAGGCAGATAGTTCGATTAAGCGCCATAAGGCTCGGCTTGTGGCAGAGAGTTTTACTCAGACTTATGGAGTAGACTATCAAGAGACATTTGCACCAGTTGCTAAGATGAATTCAAGCAGGGTACTCCTCTCTCTTGCAGCTAATCTGGATTAGCCACTTCACCAATTTGATGTGAAGAATACTTTCCTATATGGTGATCAGATGAAGAGGTGTATATAAACATTCATTCTGGCTTTGAAGACCTTAAAACAAAGGGTAAGGTTCTCAAACAATCCCCAAGGGCTTCAAACAATCCCCAGACCCATTACCAGCATTGACAATAATAGAAAAAGGGAGGAGAAGTATAATTTTGAAGTAAGGGGAGATGGGGAGTCATATAATAAGAGACACCAGAGTCAAAAATCCAGACAGACGAAGAAATACCTGAAGAAGACCCAAACAAACTTGAATGAAGAAAGGAAACAATAGAAGTAGACGGGATGGCTAGGAGATAGGCAGTATATGCTGAAGTTGACTAATCTAAGCACTCAAGGATGCCAAATTAGGATCAGGAGCTGGAGCAGATGCAGTAGAACCGATAGAAGCCTAAAGATTGCTCAGAGAAGAAGGGGCAAAACTGGGTCCAAGAATGCTGATAATACGAGCCAGATAGACATCCCTTCTTAGGACAATGATACTTCCAATGGCCTCGCTGATGGCAAAAGGCACACTCATCAAAGGCCAAAGACATCGTAATAACCAGAGAGATGAGGGTCTCAAGTGTAATAACACCAAGATAGAACAAATTAGCCAAACTAGGGTCAAGGGTAATAACCAAAAACAACTGCGGGGTTAGGAGTAATAAACACGGAATAACTAAATCAGAGATGCAGATGACCCATAAACCAGTTGAACCGAGAGCGAGAGCCCTTCGCGCCAGATGAACACAGAGACAGACAAAGAGAGAGCCAACCTTCGAGAGAGACAACAGCTGAAGTTGATGCAAACCAGATGCGATAGAGGCAAGAAGCAGAGGTCGCGGTATGAGTCGCGATATGGGTCAAACAAACCACGATGTACTGAGCTTTAGAAATTCAAACAACTGAGGGTTTTGCGAACCAGAAGCGTGGTCGATGGTGAGTCGTCATGTCCCTCTAGATGATCCCACGGTCTATCGCGAGCTGATGGGTTGTTTAGTTTATTTGACTATCATTCGCCCTGATCTTGCTTATGCTGTTCATGTGGTTAGTCAGGTCAGTTCGTTTCTGCTCCTCGCTCTGCCCATTGGGCTGCTTTGGTTCGCATTCTTCGCTATCTCTGGGGTACCATCTTTCAGGGCTTGCTGTTGTCGTCTACTTCCTCTTTAAACTTGGTGGCCTATGCTGATTCTGATTGGACTGGTGATGTTACTGATCGCAAGTCCACCTCTGGTTTCTGTATGTTTCTTGGAGATTCCTTGATCTCTTGAAAAAGCAAGAAACAAACTGTTGTTGCTCGCTCTACTGTTGAAGCTGAGTACCGTGCTATGGTTCATGCTACTGCTGAGCTTGTTTGGCTTCATTGTCTTCTCTCTGATATGGGTATACCTCAGTCTTCTCCGACCTCCCTATATTGTGACAACCGTAATGCTATTCAGATTGCCCACAATACTGTCTTCCATGAACGGACGAAACACATTGAGATTGATTGTCACTTTGTACGACAGCATCTGCAATCTGGCTCTACCTTGCTTCCTTTTATCTCCTCGACTTTACAACTTTCGGACTTCTTCACCAAGACTACACTACCGCTCGGTTTCAGTTTCTTCTTAACAAACTCTCAGTGTTTTCTGCTAAAACATCTTGATTTTGAGCGGGAGTGTGAGAATATATATTGTATATATGGTATATTAGGAATTAAGCAATTTTAGGCAATTCCCTTTTCTTTGTATTTCCTATTTCTGTCATAGATTAGGGCTATATAACTGATGCACTCTTTGTAAACATACACAATTGAATATACAGAAAACTTACAGAAAGGTCCACATCGGGATATTGTACCTTTGTTGGGAGAAATTTAGCTACTTGGAGATGTAAGAAACAAAATGTGGTAACTAGATCTAGTACAAAGACAGAGTTTACAGCCATGACACAAGGTGTCTGCAAACTCTTATAGATCAAGTTACTGTTGAGTATCAAATAGACTCCATGCCGCTATACTGTGACAATAAGGCTGCTATCAACATAACTCATAATCCAATTCAACATGACCGGACAAAACATGTTGTGATTGATCGTCACTTCATCAAGAAAAAAGTCACTAGTGGCACTTCTAGAGAACAATTGGCAAATATTCTCACCAAGAGAGTTGCAAGCAAACCGTTCCATGATATTCTTAGCAAACTGGGCAAGAGAGATATTTTGCACCAATTTGAGGGAGAGTGCTAAAATAATACCTTTGTTATTGCGGTTTATTATTCTGGTTATCTGTCATTAGTTGGAGTTTCAAATTAGAAACATTCAACAGTTAAATAGTGCAAGAGTTTCAATGCCTGCAATAGTGAATTTATGTAGGGCATACAAGTCCATGCTCAACCATGAAATTCCAGTTTTTCGGGGTAACAGGTGAACCAAATTGATCCAACTCAAGCAGCACTTTCGATGTAATGGCCATCACCCCCTTTTATTCTGATATTCAAGTTGTAACAGATTGCAAAAATTTGATAGTGCACTTGGACACAAAATTCTGATTAGGATATAGAGATCCAGGCATAGTAGGTTATACTGCATGTAGACCCACCACCAACTGCTTCCAATATGCAAAAAAGAAAAGGAAAGCTCTCCAAAAACATCTTATATGCACTGAACGCTAAAACATGGCAAAAGGAAAGCAAAAAACAAAAACAAAGTGATCCATGAATGAATAATGGCCAACCTTCAGTGGGTACCCCAGGCAAACGACAGCTGAAGCATCAATGCCTTCCTCAACAGCCACCATACAGCTGACCCTACAGATACAAAACAGAATAATAAAAAAATAAAAATGATTAAAAAGGTAAATCTTGCATGGATGATTACTAGTTTAAAATATCTCATACTACCTGTTAAAATGTACCAAAACCTACCCCTACACCTTCTCCACCCACTTCACCTACTCCACCTACTACTCCACCTACTACACCTACCACCACCTACTACACACCTACCACTACCACCTACTACCACCTACTCCACTACATCTCCTATATAAGGAGCCCCTCACCATTTGTAATTTATAACATACATCAATCAATAATACATCATTTCTTACATGGTATCAGAGCTATAAGATTTAGGACTATATTTTTTTTTTTCTCACTGGCGGGCAGTAGGCCGGCAACCTTGCCTTCACTGCCCGCTGGAGTTTTCTACACATACCTTCACTCCGCTGTATCTTCAACTCTCTCTCTCTATAGATATATATTTTATCGTTTGTCGAAGTTTCGCTCTCTTTCTCTTACTCTGCACTTTCTACTTTGGAGAGCAGTTGTCTGGCTTTGCCTTCTCTGCCAATGGGTGGGTGCAATCCTATGGATCTCGTTGTGTGAAGCCACCAATCATCTTTGGTGATGTGAGCCGCCCCAAGGCAATGACCGTTTTCTGGTCCTCTATGGCTCAAAGCATGACTGCTCGCCCAATGAAGGGAATGCTTACTGGGCTCTACGACATTCACTCTCCTAGAATACCATCAACCGAAGAGATTGCTGATAGAATCAACAAGATGCTTCAAGTGCTCGAGACCAACATCTTGTGGGTTAACCCCGACTGTGGGCTCAAGACTCGCAAATACCACGAAGTTAAGCCGGCCCTCCTAAACATGGTTGCTGCATTTGAGAAGGCCTCTGGCAAGAAAATCCCCATCAAATTGTGTCCAAGAAGAGCAGGTGATGCCACTGCAGTTTATGCTTCTACAGAGAAAGCTGAGAAAGAACTTGGTTGGGAGAGAAAGTTGTGAGAGAGAGAGAGAGAGGAGAGGACGCGTGAGAAATGAGGTGGTCAAAACCCTAGTCAGTTATGGATCTTTTTTGTTTAACCTACACACCACCATTCCCTATATAATTCACATGGTCTTGTTCCCCATCTTTTCATATAATATAACCCATCATCCCTAATTACGCAGTCCAACCTCACCATCTCTCTCATCTTTCCACTTTCAAACCCACAATCCTTTTTTTAATCAATTCACTCCCTTACTTTCTTTAAACCGCTCTCTCCACTCACCGACTCCCTCACCCCCGAAAAGAATATCTTTATTTATTTATCTTATCTTTCTTGTGTTCCATTTTTCAAACAAAAAAACAAAAAAAAAAAAAAAAAAAAAAAAACAACAACAACAACAACAACAACCAACACCAAGGATCTCTTCTTTTTGAAAACATAATCATCTCTCCCACCAAAATGGCATCTTTCAACCTACCCATCTTTCTTTTCCCCACTAAAATATATTATACTAGCCTTCATTGATTCCACTGGATTCCAACACTTCATTTTATATATTATTATTATTATTATTTTAACAAAAAAAAAAAAAACGAATTGAAACGTGAGCGGCTATGCTATCGTGCGCAGTATGCGTTACGTATCGTTCTCACGACTCACGCGTGCCATGGTCAAAAGAAAGGTGCGTAGAGTTCACCACAACATACCTCTTCTTTGAGCAGTGACACCGGCCGGAGCCAGATAGCTTGCCGGAAAGTTCCTCGGAGTGACCGTGTTCGTGGCACCTCTTCCGGTTCGATGAGGAGGAGAGCGGCGGCTTACCGGCGGAAACCGCCGGCGCCGCCGGAACCATGAAGAGCGACGACGTCCCTAGCTTTCCGTTAGATACGCTGCCTTCGCCGGTGATCGACGACACGAACGACGAGTTCGCCGACGACATCGGCTGCGATATACTGAAGGTCTCCTTAGTGATCTCGCTGCTCTTAGGGTTCGAGTTAAGCAGATTAGGTTTCGTGAAGTCAAGAGTCATCAATTGAGGCTGCGATTGGGGATGATAGCTCGCCGGAGCCACAGAGGCAGGCGTCGGAGTCTGATCGTGAAGAGACGAGGAGGAAGACGACGGAGGACAAGGCGGACCGCGGCGGAACCGAGCGTGGCCGGTCCGATTCAAAACTGAAATGACTTTTTTGAACTTGGAAACAGTGAAATCAGTGAGATCTCCGCAATCCAACTGATTCGAAGAAGGTGGTTGTTGTTGTTGTTGTTGCCTCTGCTGAGACTGATGAGAAATTATGCGAATCAGATGTTCCATGCTTTTCAATCCAGCTGAAGCCGCCTCTTGTATCGCCATCTGTTCATCCATCTTCGGAAACCCCAACAGCTCCACCGCCATTGAAGTTATATATATATATATGTCTGTGTATGTATTCTAGAGAGAGAGTGAGATAGAGAGAGAAGTGGGAAGCTCAGGCGGCCATGGATGAATGAATGTAGAGAGAGAAAGTGGGAGAGTGGGGGAAAGTGGAAGAGAGGGGAAGGGGGTTATAAAGGAGATTAGGGTGAGTGGGAAACCGGGTGGAAGGGGAAATCTAGTCAAAGGGTGAATGTGAATCGGACGGCTGAGATTGATTTGAATGAGAGAAGGGAAGCTGACCGAGAAACCGGGTGGAAGGGGAAAAGCTAGTCAAAGGGGGTGAATGCGAATCCGACGGCTGAGATTAGTTTGAAGGTTTCGCTCGAGTTGGGTTGTGCTTGGAAATGAGAAGTGGTGGGTCCAAAAATTATACATGGTGGAAAAGGAGAAGAAATTACCTGACTTGTTTTTACTTTTCAAAAAATTTTATTTTTATTTTTGGTATTTTTTTATTTTTACTGAATTTTTTTAAAATTTTAAGTAATTTTTTTATTTTTTAGACACACTTAACATAAATACACTCAAAAAATAAAAAAAAATCTTTTAAAAATTTACTAAATTCCAACACGAGCCAGTGTCTTCTACATCGGTCTGCCATCACCATACAGTCTTCTACAACGGTCTGACACGACCATACAGTGTCTCCTATCCTCTTGTATTTTATGTATTCGTCTATTTTCTTGTTTTGTTACTCTCTCCAAACTCAAGTTGGTTAGTTCCTATCCCCCTTGAGTTTGCGGGGGCTGTTAAAATGTACCAAAACATACCACTACACCTTCTCCTCCCACTTCACCTACTCCACCTACTACTCCACCTACTACACCTACCACCACCTACTACCACCTACTACACACCTACCACTACCACCTACTACCACCTACTCCACTACATCTCCTATATAAGGAGTCCCTCACCATTTGTAATTTATAACATACATCAATCAATAATACATCATTTCTTACACTACCTTACATGAGATTTTTTTGTTTTAAATTGATCTGCCAATGCAGATTATCCATCACTATCAAATTTGCATATGAACGGAAGCATGACTTAGTATTGTGGCTATGATCCATCTAATCAGTTTCATCCATAGAAAGTGACAACATGCTACAAAGGAATTTATTAGTAAAATTATCAACTCCTCCATATACAAAACAATTTAAATGCAATTGTTTCAAAATTTTGAACCTGAGAAAAAAAGGTCATTTTCAGACAATGAAGTTTGAGGTATCAAAATTTCTCAACTTATTCTGATGCACTACTTTTCCCATTTTCTGTACAATAAAACTATTTTAGCTTATGATGCAAACCACTTGCAGCCATTAAAAACTAATAAGCACGAACACTTCTAGAACACCAACTCTCATCAGACACTTCCTGACATGTGTTGGACACTCGTCCAAATGTATCCTATTAGTCTTTAAAAAAATTAAACCCAAACACCTTCACATTTGGAGGACACATCTCGATCATATATACACATGTAAAACTAATAAGGTTTGAAAAGAGTAATTTAAGATAATAATATAAGAAAAACAATGTAGATTTATAGAAATTAGTGTTATATCACTTTTTTTTATTATCTTTGGATGATATATTTATAAATATGACATATACTAAAGATACATAACTACATATTTTGTGTGTGTGCCCCACATATTGTGTCCTATATTTTTTTTGAAAATTATGGAGTCATGTCCACATTCGTGCTTCTTAGATTAGAAAATACCTATTATCATAATGATTCTTGGGCTAGGAAGCACGGATACGGATACGGGATACGGATACGGATACGATACGATATGGCGATACGACAAAATTTGAAAAACTAAGATACAGGTACGGCGGGGATACGTTAGTAAAAAATATTATTTTAACAATTTTTAGTAATGCAGTATGCATAAAAATAAAACTTAAAGCAAAAGACAACTTGATAAAGAAGAAAGATTCCTACAAAACTAAGAGTCTTCAAGGTCAATAGCTTTAACTTGTTCCCCTTCATCAGTGAATATCACAAGACCTTAGCTAAAGCCAAAGCCAAAAACCATTCTTAAATAAAAATTTCAGCAAATATACTTTTTTAAGTCATCAATGATAGCCTAGGAAGCATGGATACGAATATGGTGATATGGGGATGTGGATATGGCGATATGTCAAAATTTGAAAAAGTATGATACGGGTACAGCAGAGATACATTCATAATTTTTTTTTTTTTTGTGATTTTAATAATGTAATATGCATGAAAATAAAACTTAAAGTAAATTAATAAATAGAGGGATTCCTATTAACCTAAAAGTGCTCAAACATTCATAAAACATCCAAAACTAAAAGCAAAAGCAAATGCAAATGCAAATGCAAATTAAACATCATCCTTACATGCCAACACCAAAAAAAGAATGAGAACAGAGAGAAGAAACGTGAGAGAGTGAGAAAGCGAGAGAGAAGTGAGAGAGACAACAAGGATATATCAATTTGACAAATTCTATTACTTAAGCTCTCACTATATTCCTCTTATGAAAGAACTAAACAAAATATTATAAGTAATATGTAACTTCGAGTATCCGATACTTCAAAATTAAGTATCCGATACTTCAAAATTAATAAAAAATTAATTAAGAAATATCCGATACTTTTAAAAAGTATCCGATACGTATCCGCGAGTATCCGAGGAGTATCGGTATCTGATAAGTATCCGATACAGATACGTCACCCTTTTTGAAGTATCCGTGCTTCATAGCTCTTGGGCTATGTATGAACATTTCAGTGCATGCATCCGTGCTTCTTAGATTAGAAAATACCTATTATCATAATGACTCTTGGGCTATGTATGAACACTTCAGTGCATGCATAATTGTTTCACTAAAATGTACAGTAATGATTACCTTGAACCCATGGATTTTCCAACCAAAATTAGTGGATGTTCAGGGTACTTCGCTACAGCCTTTTTGACAACGTCCACATGAAAGTCAACTAATTTTTCTGCCTTAGGAGGAGCCCCTCGTTTTCCACCAGAGATGTCTGTCAAGAGTGAATTCAATTAATCAATTTTGCAGAGCCTGTAGGTGACAAGTACTAAAATTGACTATCTTGAGTACTTATTATGAGCCATTAAGTCAATTGATTATCTTGAGTATCAAATAGCCTTTACAGTTGAACTGTTGAAATATTAGATGGCCATGTTTGGTTCGGTTTTCAGAAAAATAAAAAAAATTAAAATTAAAATTAAAATAAAAATTAAAAATTAATTTGGTGAAAGAAATAAAAATAATAAAAAATACTGATCATTTTTATATAATTTTATCTTTTGGGAGGTCATAAATAATTTTTTTAAATTTAAAATAATATTTTTGATATTTAATGTCACTGCCACTGGTTTCAACTCGCTGCAGCAATTATTTCTAAACAAACTTTTCAACCATATCAAAAAACAAATACTGGGTAAAGGACTGCAGTGATTGGTTAATTAACTTACATGGGTAATCAAATGTCACAACTTCAACAGCCTGCAACCCTTTGGCCAACTTGCCCTTCCATCTGCACAACTTAGGGGATTATATTTCTATAAAAAACAAAATGTTGCAAAACATATTAAAGTATGTTCTTTATGTTCAAATTTTTGGGAGATACATGACTCTGAGAAAATCTCTTGTTACGTTATCTCCTTCATTTTTATGTGTTTCAAGCAATGCATAACATTTATTCTAACAATAAGAACAAGTCAACAAGTAGAGAATCTACAACAATCTATACATCATTTATTTTTAACAGTTACCGATCTTTCATTGTCCAATAACCAAACCATTACAAGAATGGATGATGACTAGTCTCTCCATTCACATCATAAAAGGGTAAATGTAGGTTCGCACATGTAAATGCATCAATTGCACTGATCAATTCATTTGGTTCACAAAGTAATGTGCATAAAAGAGATCCTTTTTAAGGTTTGCCATAAATGCCAACATTGTTTCTTTAATCTGAAAATAGCTTCTACTATGTTTGCAATTTTTTTCAGTTGTTACTTATCTATTTTTAATGCCTACTTTTATTTTTCAATCCCATAACTGATTTACTATTTGCACCAAAACCCAAAGAGAAAAAACGAAACTGAACACTACAAAGAGAAATAGACCCAACAAGTATATGATAAGAAAGCTCTGTTTGTTCTTTTTTCCAGGTCTTCTACAGCAGTGATTCATTTTTATGGATAACAAACAAAACAAAATTGAATATTTTTTGACAAATACATCCAAACCCAACCACACACACAAAATATATATACATATATATATATATATATCACTTCTTTTCCTTTTCCTATGTTTCCCATCCCTTTTCCCCAACAATTACAAGATCCAAACATGCCACAAGGGGATGGCCCAAACCCAAGACTTTCCTGCCCATCTCATCTATCCCTTGGGGTTAACAACGGGGGTAGCTCCCCTCAAAGACTCCATCTTCTAGATAATCCCGACGGCCATGTTTGTTTCGACACTTGAGTGGCCGGATTGGACTACTATGGTTGTGGGTCCTACCCACAACATGTTTGGTAGTGAAATGGGAGGACGGATTGATAGTCAAGGGACTTAATAATCCCCCTCAATAAGGGATTAACTTGGCTGAGTTTTGGGTGGATTTACAAAAATAAGGAGAGGATTGAGTTTATTTTATATAAAAAAAAAAATTTATTTTTTTAATTTTATTTTATTTTATCAAGTACGTTTTAATATTTTTAATATAAAAATAATTTTTTATTTATTTTATATAAAAATAATTTAACAATTTCATCACTAACCATCTTCCGTACTATTATTAAAAAAAATACATTTTTACTTGATTACCTTACTAATAATCTTCACATTAACAGTCTTTTTACTAACTATCCTTTCACTAATAATCTGATTGAACCTAATCTGTAGTCGCCATATTAACAATCCCTATACTAACTATTATCTCACTAATAATTCCATCGAATCTAATCCGCCAAACAAATATGGCCGAAGAGCTCTCCGGGGCTCCACAACCGTTCATCTCATAAACTTGATTAGAAATGGATAAACACACTAACTAATCATGTTTTCTTTTATGAAAATAGAAATTAACTGTAAATATGATTTTAAATTAAAACCGTATATTTTATGAAACAAAATACAACAAATTAATATATTTATCGATATGTTAATTTTTTACTTATATATATATTTTTCTCTTCGAGACGATGACCGGCTCGAATCACCGTCATAAGGCCCACAAGGCCCACTAAATGGAGTCTGGAGGGAGCTACTCCCGTTAATAACAGCCTTGTTTGATTTCTTAGCAAATCTAGAGAATAAAACAATAAATATCAGAAAACTATTTTTTCTAGGGAAGGGAAAAAAAAAATTATTTGCATATATATATTTGTATATGTAGGTGAGAGAAGATGAGAAAGAAGACCTAATCATCCAATCAGAAGAGGAAGGGGCACCAGCACCATGAGCGAAGACCACCAATGGAGGCATCGTCATCGTCGTCTTCTTCTTCTTCTTCTTTGAATCATTTTGTGAGCTGTCAATTGGTGCTTCTGCATTGTCATTAGGTTCTTCATTTTCTTCATGTTTGTTCTGGTTCTTGCGTTTACGCCTCGCAGGACGTGAAGAAGAAGCCATTAGCTCTGTTCGAACCCTAATTTTGGTCTGGTCACTGCACTGCAAAAGTACAGTTGAAGCAAGTGTTGAGAGGGAGAGGAAGGAAGCCGAGGAACCAAAAACTCTCAATTGCGCGCGGAAATAGAGGATTTCCACCAGCAATGTTGGGCTGGCCTTTCCTTTCTAAGCCCAGTCCAATTTTATTTTATTTTATTTTTTTATTTTGTGAACTAGATTAGGCCATCTTGAGCATAATCAATTCCCACAATACCTGTATACAAAACTCAATCATTTAATGCTAAAAATTAGCCAAGTTTAGTTCCTTGCAGGGGCAATATTAAGAGAAGACTGAGGGACATAACTTCTTTTTTCTGTGAATATTATTGTTTGTCCCAGAATTTTAAATGTATATATATCATTTTATATATAAAATGACTCCCAGTATGAAAAAATATGTCATTTTTCTTCCATCTTGAATTCTCTTTCTATTTTACATCAAAAAATGCTTATTCATCCTATTAGAAATTACTTCTATGGTATTTAAATTTTTTTTTTATGTATATATATTTTATATATCATATATACATACATGTGTGTTTTGTGTATATGGTGAAAAAAAATTATTTTTCTTTTGACTCCTCCAACAATAAAATCCTAATTTCGTCCCTAACTCTGACAACTATTGATAACTACTAATGGGTCATCTTTTACCTAATCAATTCCTAAAATGCCTCTATAGGGAAAATATTTGAGATTCTCAAAAAAGTTTCATACATCTATCTGTAATGATATCTCAAAATAGGTGTTAATTCTTAAAACACGTTAACGTTATTTATCTGTAAAATAATTAAAAAAAAAAACAAACAAACTCTAATCAAGGCCTATGAGTTATTTGGAGATAATCTAAATGAGTACATTTATTTGTTAAATGTATTTATTTGGATCATATCATCTTTTTACTTTTTTACCTGTCTTTTCATAAAAGGTTAAAAAATGTACTAAATAAATCATAAGTTACATTTTTGCAAAAAAATAAAAAAAAATGTTACTCTAGCTATTAATATTTAAATGATACAATATTAAACTAGTTTAAATTATGATAAAATTCTAAATACATGTGAAAATCGACATGTTTACCTAAATAGAAAAAACATTTAATTTAAATAAAATAATGTACTCCTTTCGTTTCAAAATATTAGTTTCTTATTCTATTTTTTATTATCCCAAAATATTAGTCCTTTTTAAAAAATTAAGGACTAAAATAATACAAATTTCCTATTTTGCCCTTCTTTTAAATTTATTAATAACACAAAAAGTAAAATTATGACAATTGATATTATTCAAAAAATATACTATAAAAGGATAATTTTAAAAAAATATATTTGTTAAAAGTACAATAATTGTACTATCAAAAAAAATTAAATTCTCTAAAAAAAATATTATTTTGAAACGGAAGGAATAATGCATACAACCAAAAATTATTTTATTATATGCACTAATGCTATTGTCCTAGATTTTGTAACCATGAAACTTGCCAAGAAACATGTGTAAGAAAAATGAGTGTAAAAGGTAGATGAAGACTTCTTGTGATGTGTGCCATATCTATAGGAAAATGCTCCATAGCTCGAGTAAGTAAGGCTCGATTGGCCCGAAAATACACATTTTCTCTCTTTTCTCTATCTCTCTCTCTCAAACTTGACCCAAGAAAGCTGCAATGATTGTTCTCTCTCTCCTCTCTTCCAAACCCACTCTCTCATCCCTCTTCTTCGTTCACACTTGACACGAAGCAACCGGACTCGACACATCTCAACCGATGCCGGAGATGTGAGCTCAAGAAAAGCTTTTTCTTTGCAGGGAACCAACATTGAACATGACCCAAGTTTATAGATCGGATATGAATCATCTCTCACCCAATTTCCATTAAAAAAATTACAATTCATCAAAGACTCCACCAAATTCTCACTACCTTGTTTTTGCAGACTAACCCACATTAGTCCCATTACTCTATTTCTTACCCTTCTCTGTAACTTTCACATCTTTATTCCTTGTATAATTTTTTCTAATAGGGGAAGATGTTAGCAGTGTTGTTAGTAGGTGGAATAGGAGCAACATTGGGGACTTGTTGGGATGAGCTTGGGAAAAAGTAAGAGAAAATTGAAGAGAATTGAGATCTATAAGATTCATCCATTCCTTTTTTTCATCCATGTCGTTCTCAACTTTCATTCAGAATAGAGGCAGCGATTCAACTTTCCTTCGAAGACGATAGTGCTGGTCTACGACGAAGCTCAATCTTATGTTGAGTTTTCCTTACTTCATATTCTTAGATTCTTTATCTCTTTCTTCAATTCTCTTTTTTTTTTCTTTTTTTTTCCCGGTGAGTTTTCTGACCCTATTCTTTTATTATCTTCTTCTTCGATTAGATTATCCTTTTGGGTTCTTTCTTTTTTTCTTTCTAATCTATAGCCTTATTTCTCTTTGATTTTCATTCTGATTTTTTGATTTTGATTCGGTTTGGTTTTGGATTTGATTTGATTTGATTTCACATTCTGTTTGGTAAACAGAAATTGATTTTGATTTTGAAGAGGAAGAAGAGAAAGAAAGAAGATCTTCTTCTCTGCCTCGCATCTTCTTCTCTCTTCCTCTCCCTCTATTTTTTTTCTTTTCTCTTCCTCACTACAAGAAAAGGAGGCAAAAAAGACGGAAGCTTTCACGACGGTCTGTTTCCCGTCGCAAAAGACGACCTTTTTGCGACGGCAGATTAACCCGTCGCTAAAAAAGGTATTTAGCGACGGCAGTTTTACCGTCAACAATAAACTGTACGGGGAGTGTCATTATATGGGATTATTAGCGACGGCATTGCCTACCGTCGCAAAAAAACATTGTTTTGGAAACGGCAGAATGTTTCTGTCGCAAATAGTTAGTCATTTGAGACGGCAAAAATGTCCGTCGCAAAAAAATATCAAAAACGAGCCGGTTTAGCGATACGTAATTACCATTTGCGACGGTTTAAAATGTACCGTCGCAAAAAAAAATAATGACAAAACTTTTGCCCCGCTCTCCCCAATTTTGGCGCTCGGTGATTTCGATAGAAATCCCTAATTCTTCGAAATCCCTAAATCTATGAAGTCCCTCAAACTTTGAATCATTTGGATCAAAATCCCTAAATCTTCGACTTCGCCTATCAGCCGTCGCCAGCCATCTTCAACCCAGCTTTTAGAGCTTCTTCTCCGGCAAAGTTCTTCTTCTCCGGCGAAGTTCTTCGGCTTCGGCTTTCAGCCATCCTCTCTCTGCATGCTCAAAACCGCAGTTCTTGGAAGCTTCGAAAATCGCAACAATGGTGCTTCTGCTGACTCTTCTCTGAGGACTCAAATTCAACTTCAACTTCAACTTCAACTTCAACTTCAACTTCGTTCAACTTCACTTCGTTCAGGTATCTGTTCACATTCTCAAAATAGAGGTTGAACTCATTTTTTTTGATTACCTGTGTTTTATATCATATCATCATTCTCAAAATAGAAGATAAAGTTCACTGTATATTAACCTTGTTGTAGACAAAAGTATAGAGGTTGAACTCAATTTTTTTTTATTACCTCTGTTCACATTCTCTCTCACATACAGGAGAGAGAGAGAGAGAGAGAGGTTGAGATTTATATGAAAGGGGCCAGTAGCATCTGCCATTTTTCTTTTCCTTTCCATTTTCTCTGTTTCATTCAGATTGTGTTCCACTACTCATATGGTTGAAAGTGGCACTTTTGTTATACAAATATTATGGATGACCAACAAATTATCTCACTTCCAAGTATATAATGAAAAGGTTTTCTAATCTGATATTTGTTGACAGCTAAATAGCCAGAGAGAAACCCTTATATATGTATGCGTGCACAAAATCTTTCTGCCAGAGCATGGTACGGAACTGTTTTCTATATGTGCCTTTTATCGGACTGATGGATCAAAGTGATTTTCCCGTTTGAATTCAGTTTTTGCACTCACTGTTCTGTTTAGATGTTGTATATGGACCATTTCCCACAGTTTCACTGTGCGTGAACATTTTTGTTTGATTATGAAGTTAATCATGGTTGAAATATTTTGCCAGAATTGGTGACCCTGGTATCGAGAATGGTTTTGAATTTTTCCTTCTAAGACAGAAGTTGTACCAGTTTTTGAAAATAGTTTTCAAAATTTAAAAATTTATTTAATTATATATTTTTAAAATAATTTTGTAGTTTGGAATTTTGTAATTTGGAATGATTTGTAATTTTTTATAGTTGAATTGATAGATGTTAGAGAAAAAATAATTGACTAATGTGTAAGATATGAAAAAAATAAGAGAGGAGAAAGAAAAAATAATAATTAATTGATATATAGGATGTGAGAGAATGACAGAGCAGATAGAAAAGGAAACGAAAATAGTTTTGAAACAATTGTAAACTACACCAATTTAGATTTTGAGCTCTTAAAAATTAATTTGAAAACTAAACTAAAAAAGCCCTTTAATTCTTTTGCATAAATTAAAAGCAATTAATGATGTGAAAAAAATTTAGTGCAATAATATATTGCCTAAGTTTTGGCTTTCAAAACTTATTTTAATTTTTTTCTAAAAAATTATAAATTAATTTTGTGAAAAATTTGAAAATATTTCTTTGATGTCTATTTATCAAATTAGTTTTTATTAAAAAAAAAATAGGATAAATTTTACTAAAACCACCTCTATTCTTCCGAAATCACGCCGTCACTGATCAATTAACACCATTTACTTCAATTGTGCAATTACTATAATACCGCTGTCACTATAATACTTCGACACGCGCTTCCATGATCCTCACATTATATCCAAATATTAAACAATGAGTTATGGATAAATCACATTAAACTACCAGTTAAAATATGATAAATTATGATAGTAATGAGAAAGCAACAAGTGATAGCCTTTGTTCGATTCTTAGCCATCCCTTTTCCTTGTGATCTTTCTATAGTTTCTCTCTTTCAATGTTTTGATGCATCAATCTCAAAGTAGCCTAAGAAATTTGATTTTCATGCTAATTTTATATGTATGAAGCTCAATCAAAAACTAGCTATCAAATAACAGAATAATATGCCTACATGGCCGTACAGTCTTCCAAATTTTTCAACAAAGAATTGAATTGTGCCCATACCAATAACTCACCACAATACCCATATTTTTTTATGCACCCACATTTTACAAATTATTATCCTTGGCCTTAAAAAAATGATGTAGAAACATAATTGGAGACGAGTTTTTTTTTTTTTTTTTTTGAACAAAGAATTTTTGGCGACGAGTTTGGTCCCTTTAACCTGCTCTTGATTTGTTAGAGGAGAGATCATTTCTTAATACCGAACATATTTGAAGTTCTAAACTTTGTCTTATATAATTAATATAGTCTTGTCTAAACCAGACACTACAAGAAAAGATGGCAAAAAAGACGGAATTATTAGCGACGGCGCGATCCCCGTCGCCAAAAATGGTATTTTGCGACGGCAAAATAAACCGTCGCAAAAAAGTAGTTTTAGCGACGGCGTTTATCCGTCGGTAATAAACTGCACGGGCGAGTATTAAAATCAGGAACTATTAGCGACGGAAAGTGTTGAACCATCGGGAAAAAAAAAATATTTGAGACGGCAAAAGTTTGCTGTCGCAAATACTCGGCCATTTGCGACGGCAAATGTCCGTCGCAAAAAATGATTATTAAAACGACGTCGTTTATTAATCGTTTTGTATAATTTGCGACGGTGTAAACCGTACCGTCGCAAAATGTAAAAAACAATTTTCCCCCCTCTTCCCTCTCATCTTGCCGCTCGGTTCCATCGCAAAATCCCTAAAATTGATTTGAAGCACAAAATTCCTAAAATCCCTAGCGGTGTCCGATAGAAATCCCTCTCATCTTGCCGCTCAATTTTCCCCCAAAATTCCCAAACCAGCGACAGGCGACCGGCGACGAACGGCGAAGGGCTAGCGGCGGTGCTTCGACGACGACAGCAACTCAGGTATGCTCTCTCTCTCTCTCTGTATATATATATATATATGTATGTATGTATTACCTGTTGCATATATATATGTATGTATGTATTACCTGTTTCATATCTTGTCTTCTTCTTCTTCTTCTTCTTTTTTTTTTTGCAATCATTGAGAATATTTACCATATGAATAATTATATATATAGAGTTAAGTTGGTTTGTTGTCCTATTTAATGTTGATGCATGTACCTAACTAGTTATGGCTTTTGGAATCTGCAATCAAATTTGGCTTGTTTTTATGATACCGTGGATTTTTCCTTGAGCAATGCTAGGAACTTCAAAAAAAAAGTTTCAAAAATTTCAGACTCATGTGAATATTATTTGGTAGTTTATTCAGAGTCTCTAGTATTTGTGTTTTGCCGTTTGGGATATTCCTGAAGTTGCAAGTATGGGTAAACTTTTTCTTCTCCACAATGACCTTACACTTTAGCATTTTCAAAATTAATATATTATATACAAATAATTTTAGATGGCACATGTAATACATTCGTGTGTAATATTAGGAAATCCGATAAAAAATTCATTTATACATAATATTACTCTTTTTTTAAAAGTAAAATAATAGACTTGGCTTATCTCCTATCTTTATATAGACTCGATTCATTCTAAACTCCTAACTTTATCATAAGTCGTACTTTAATAGAATAATATGTTTATTTTATAAGTTTATCTGTAGGAAGATATATTGATCTGATAATTATAATAAAATAATTTTGTTGTATTTATTTTTTTAATAATGAACAATTTATTTTCAAAATAATATTCTTTTTTAAAACATAAATACGATGAAATTATATTGTTATAATTATCAAATTAATCTAATTTTTATTATAAATGATCTACACACCTATACCTTCAAAAAGATCGAGTCATTAAAACACATTGGGCCATATTAATGTAGAAATCAAAATAAATTCATGAGACCAGATTGGACTGATTCATTCTGTACCATGAACCAGACCCCCAACGAATTTACTATGGAGAATTCGTTTGATCCGCCTCATGAGTTGCCTAGTCATGTCTTCTCGTCTAGAACAATTAAGGGCAAATTACAGTGTTTCTTTTTGAGCAATTTCTTTAGACAATTGTGCTCGAAAGTGAATCGTGCGATGGATTTGCAATATATTCAAGATCGTATCGCTCTAACACTTTGTCATCTAGAGAAAATAATTCCTCCGAGTTTTTTTGATATAATGGAGCACTTGCCTATACATCTAGCTGATGAAGCCTTATTGGGTGGAGCGATTCAGTTTCGATGGATGTATCCAATTGAGAGGTATCTTCTTACTTTGAAGCAATACGTGCGTAATAGAGCTCATCCTGAAGGATCAATTGCTAAAGGATATCTTATGGAAGAATGCATGAATTTTTGTGCACAATATCTTAATGATGTGGAAACCAAATCTAGTCGACCCGTGAGAAACTATAGTGGTGCTGATAATTTGGGTCATGCTATTGGTGAAAACACAAGCTTTTATCTTGATAATACTTCTTGGGTACAAGCTCATCGGTACATCTTATTCAATACAAGCGCGGTTCAACCATTCATAAAGTAGGTTAAGTCACTCACTCACTCAATATGTTATTATGTTTTATTGAATTTTCAACAAAATTTTTTGTATTGCTAAAATCTCAATCTACACAGCAAACACCTTGAAGTACTTCAACTCAAAATGCCTCGTGTCGACGATCATCAGCTTCGGCGTGAACATTTTGAAACTTTTCACATTTGGTTCAAGGAACATGTATGTATTTAACTCTATAGATTCTAGTTACTTAAGTCGAACTACATTTAAATTTTACATTTTCGTGTTAAATAGGTCCAAACTTTGCGAAGGACTACTGATGTCATATTTTCTGAAGAGATTATTCTATTGGCAAATGGTCCTCATAACCTGGCAAGGAGGTTCAACGGGTATATACTGAATGGGTTTCGGTATCGAGTAAAGGCCATGGATGATCGTCGAGCCACACAAAATTGTGGTGTAGCTTTGAAGGTAGATACCATAAGTTATGCTAGTCGAAAAGACAAGAATCCTCGTGTGGGGTCTGTGTACTATTATGGACAATTGACAGACATTGTTGAGCTTCGATATTCCAATGAGAAGAAACATGTGTTGTTTAAGTGTGATTGGATTGACAATATTCACGGAAAAAAAGAAGATGTCTCCAATTTCACGTTGGTAAACTTCAATCATTTGTTGTACCGAGATGATCGAATTACCAATGAACCTTTCATCTTGGCGTCCCAAGCAGAGCAAGTTTGGTACGTTGCAGACCCGTTACAACCAGACTGGCAAGTCGTGGTGAAGATGTCTCAAAGAGGTTTATTTGATATGAGTTCGACTGATCCACAAATCGAGCCATACATAAGCCAACAATTGGAAGAAAATATAATGCTTCGTGATGAAGAAGTTGGTTGGGTGAGGGAAGCCGCAGAAGGGGAAACAGTTGATGTTCAAATAGGCTGATATTTAATCAACATTAGTAATTCAATTAAGGCAAAAGTTGTAGTTAATCATCAATTTCTTAATTTACTTTGTCTTTGTAATTGTATTAGTTCAATTAATGTCATATTATAGTTGATGACAACCCATTGTCTATGTTTCTAATGTCAATTAATGTTATATTGCTTGCAGATTATTATGGGAAGGAAGAAGAAGCCTGATCATCCCCGGCACATGATGTCTGATGTGCTACATAACAGGACATCAGTAGCACCACCATCAGAGGACGCATCACATCGGCCACCATCGGAGGGGCCATTAGTACCACCACATCGACCACCATCAGTGGCACCACAGCAGCTACCATGTACTCAGCCTCCACGCCTACCATTGGTGCGTCCACCATCAGTGGCACCACAGCAGCTAGCATCCCGACTAGAGTCATCAGCTTATGAGCTATCCGCAGGTATATAAATTTGCTTTGATTTGTATGAAAATTATTTAAACATACATTTATTTATGCTCATTATATATAACTTGTTTATTCTCATTGTATTTTGCAGACCCTTCGTTTTCTTCACAGCCTACATCAGGTATAAGAATTCGATTTGTATTCACATTATTTAAATTTGCATTTGTTTATTACCGTTGCATATTGTTTATTGTTTTTGTATCTCGTAGGTCATGTTAGTTCTTCATCAATCTCGACTAGGTGTGGTAGAGGATGTGCCAAGGGCATTAAAGAGTGGGGTACTAGTAAAAAGATGGACATACAATTTGATGAAAATTACTGCCCAATAGGGGATAACCTAGGCGTGGTAGAGGATGTGCTAAGGGCATTAAAAAGTGGGGTACGGGTAAAAAGCTGGACATACAATTTGATGAAAATTACTGCCCAATAGGGGATAACGTCGCTAAGTTAACTACTCAACTTGGCATCATTGTGAGGAATGGTAACATTGTTCCTCTTACTTTTCTTGACTGGAACAATGTGCCTGATGATATTATTGATGCTATCTGGAAGGATGTGAAGGTAAATCGCTTGAGCTCAAGAAGAGTCGCTCGAGTGCAGGAAGCACCACCCGAGCGTAGGAAGCACTGCTCGAGCGTAGAATACACTCTCCAGTAGTTTTACAGACCTGTAAAAATACTGAGAGTTCACAAAGGCCGCTCAAGCGTAAAGGCAAAATTCTGGGCAATAAGGTTTTTGAAAAACAAGGTACCAACCTGTTCCAAATACAACCAACACAACCCAATAGACAAACTCAAGGAGGGAAAAGAGGAATAAAACATGAACAATAATACTGAACCACGAAACCCGAGTCCAGAATATCAAATGAGTCAGGTCTAAACCAGGATCGCTATATTACTTAATGAAAATAAACAAATGGTTTAGATTGAAAATAAATAAAAACATGATGTCTGATGTGCTACATAACAGCCTTATTTTATTTTGAGACATTGATCGAACTAGTAACATGATGGCAAAGTAAGATTGGACCAAAAACTTTGATTTGAATAATTTTTCTATAAACAACCATCACTTTTTTTCCCTTTTGTTTTTCCATACTTTGAATTTGGGTGTGACGCTAGAACCATTAGAAAGCTTGTTTTTGGGGCTTCGATTGGGACATAAGAACGACCTAAAATGGAGTCCGAATGAGAGAGTTATGCCCGTTTGAAGTTTTAGTATCTGTGCCGGAAGCAAGTGCGCTACAAGCGCGGTTCAACCATTCATAAAGTAGGTTAAGTCACTCACTCAATATTTTATTATGTTTTATTGAATTTTCAACTAAAATTTTTGTATGGCTAAAATTTCAATCTACACAGCAAACACCTTGAAGTACTTAAGCTCAAAATGCCTCGTGTCGACGATCATCAACTTCGGCGTGAACATTTTGAAACTTTTAACATTTGGTTCAAGGAACATGTATGTATTTAACTCTATAGATTCTAGTTACTTAAGTCGAACTACATTTTCAATTTTACATTTTCGTGTTAAATAGGTCCAAACTTTGCGAAGGACTACCGATGTCATATTTTCTGAAGAGATTATTCTATTGGCAAATGGTCCTCATAACCTGGCAAGGAGGTTCAACGGGTATATACTGAATGGGTTTCGGTATCGATTAAAGGCCATGGATGATCGTCGAGCCACACAAAATTGTGGTGTAGCTTTGAAGGCAGATACCATAAGTTATGCTAGTCGAAAAAACAAGAATCCTCTTGTGGGGTCTGTGTACTATTATGGACAATTAACAGATATTATTGAGATTTGATATTCCAATGAGAAGAAACATGTGTTGGTTAAGTGTGATTGGATTGACAACATTCACGAAAAGAAAGAAGATGTCTTCAATTTCACGTTGGTGAACTTCAATCATTTGTTGTACCGAGATGATCGAATTACCAATGAACCTTCATCTTGGCGTCCCAAGCAGAGCAAGTTTGGTATGTTGCAGACCCGTTACAACCAGACTGGCAAGTCGTGGTGAAGATGTCTCAAAGAGGTTTATTTGATATGAGTTCAACTGATCCACAAATCGAGCCATACATGAGCCAACAATTGGAAGAAAATATAATGCTTCGTGATGAAGAAATTGGTTGGGTAAGGGAAGCCGCAGAAGGGGAAACAGTTGATGTTCAAATAGGCTGATATGTAATCAACATTAGTAATTCAATTAAGGCAAAGGTTGTAGTTAATCATCAATTTTTTCATTTACTTTGTCTTTGTAATTGTATTAGTTCAATTCATGTCATATTATAGTTGATGACAAACCATTGTCTATGTTTCTAATGTCAATTAATGTTATATTGCTTGCAGATTATTATGGGAAGGAAGAGGAAGCCTGATCATCCCCGGCGCATGATGTCTGATGTGCTACATAACAGGACATCAGTAGCACCACCATTAGAGGAGGCATCACATCGGCCAGCATCAGAGGGGCCATTAGTGCCACCACCATCTGAGGGGCCATTACCACCGTATCGACCACCATCAGTGGCACCACAGCAAGTACCATGTACTCAGCCTCCACGTCTACCATCGGTGCGTCCACAGCAGCTATCATCATCAGCTTATGAGCCATCCGTAGGTATTTAAATTTGCTTTGATTTGCATGAAAATTATTTACACATACATTTATTTATGCTCATTATATATAATTTGTTTATTCTTATTGTATTTTGCAGACCCTTCGACTTCTTCATAGCCCACATCAGGTTTATTTGATATGATTTGTATTCACATTATTTAAATTTGCATTTGGTTGTTACCATTGCTGCAGACCCTTCGTCTTCTTCACAGCCTACATCAGGTATAAGAATTTGATTTGTATTCACATAATTTAAATTTGCATTTGTTTATTACCGTTGCATATTTTTTATTGTTTTTGTATCTCGCAGGTCATGTTAGTTCTTCATCAATCTCGACTAGGCGTGGTAGAGGATGTGCCAAGGGCATTAAAGAGTGGGGTACTGGTCAAAAGCTGGACATACAATTTGATGAAAATTACTGCCCAATAGGGGATAACGTCGCTAAGTGAACTACTCAACTTGGCATCATTGTGCGGAATGGTAACATTGTTCCTCTTACTTTTCTTGACTGGAACAATGTGCCTGATGATATTGTTGATGCTATCTGGAAGGATGTGAAGGTAAAAGTATATTTTTGACGACAAATTCGAATTCCAAAATTGTGTTGTTATTATTTACACTTTGAAATTGTGTTTTATAGGACAATTTGAATATATGTCCAGAGGAGTATAAGCCAATCTGCATGAAAAACTGCAACAGCATATGGAAGGATCATGAGAACAAGATTAAGGTTAAGTATTTCAAGCCTAGAAGTTCTGATCCTAATCTGAAGGATGATGTTCCTATGAACGTTGTGCCAAGCCAGTGGGAACAACTTGTAGAGTATTGGCGTACTTCCGATGCTGAGGTATACAATTACGTTATATTTATGATATGTAAACATACAAATCATATTTACATACTTACATTTGTTGAACTTGTTATAGAAAATTGCAAGTAGGAACGCTAAAAATCGGCGAGCTCACGGCATAGCTCATACCACAGGGCGTACTACTTTCTCTCAGATACGGCATGAGGTTTACATTTTATTGTTTTATTTTTCTATATAAATAAACATTGTATATTTGCAAATTATTTGGATTCTAATTTTAGGGGCGCGTCACAAGCACGAGCCAGTAGGAAAGAAACGCATGATTGAAACGGTTGAGTTGAAGTGCATGACAGTTCATGCGCGTGAGAAGATCCTTAAAAATCTTGATTTTTTAGGGAAAGCATGTCGGCCAGAAATGGATGATCTCGGCTATCAAACTTTAAGCCGA